TACATCTTTTAAAAATTTTAAATAAATATATAAACTGCCACAAATCAAGCCTATGTATCTTTGGATGTACTTTTTTTGCCAGGTGAAGGAGGCCCAGGGCTGCAGGGTCCCTGGAGCTGAGGGCACAGTTCAGCCCGGCTGAGCTGTGTTTTGAGCTAAAATGGAAAGGCTGACCGGCTGGCCTTTTAATGCCCAGCCCACCGAGGGAAAGCTTTTCACTGGGAGCCGTGAGCATGCACATCATGAAGTCAGGCAGGGACTCTGCAGAAATCAGCGAGTATTTGAAGATTTTAGTGCCCGATTTAGCCTCGTCCAGTGCTGACCTTCCACACAGGGCCAGCAGAAAAGTGATTTTTTTGATTGTCCATCTGACCCCGCCACAACCTCCTGTATTTTTCAATTCATTTTACATCATGCCGCACTGACCAAAGTGATTCCAGCTCTTCGCAAAGAATATTTCACTTTTTTTTTTAAACCAGAGATTCTGGGTCATTTTTCAGATGTGTTCACTTGAACAGCAAGAATAAAATCTGCGAGTTCTTTCTGATCACAGGCTGTTGGGAGCAAAGGCGAGACAAATAGTCACAAATTGCACGAAGGTTCCGGGAGAGAGGAGAATCAGAAACTCTGTCCGTCGGATGCAGACGCATGCTCTTTGGGCCTCATTTGACTTGGAGAAAGATGGGTGTGACCCCAGGCCTGGACTGGGGTTGTCTTCCGCTCAGGTTAGAGTCGGCACCACCCCAGAAAGAAGGCAGGTGCACCTCTTCCGTGGCACAACGCTCTTAGCTGCGAACCCGACTCAAGCTGCAGTTTCCACAGCAAAGCGCTAGCTGCTGTAACGAGGCCAGAGGTGACTGTGTGACTGCTGCGTCCTGAGCTAGGACCTGTGCTCCGCCCAGCGTCCCCTCTCCCCGACCGGCCCTGGGAAGAAGCGCCTCCCAGCACCCAGCCCAGCACCAGGCAGCCTGTCCTCTCACCTGGGTCACGTCGCACGCACGCAGATGACGCCTGGAACCAGGAGTCGGCAGGCGTCTTCCGTGAAGGGCCGGCGGAGGAAGCGTGGGTGGAGCTGACGACCCCTGCGTGTTCGTGATCACTCCAAGCCGCCGCTGGAATGCGGAGGCTGTCACGGGTAATGCATTAACAAACCAGCGAGGCTGGGGCCCAAGAACACTGTTTCAGTGCAGGTGGAGGCCTGAATCTGGCGCTGGCTCCAGATGGGCGGTCGTCACAATTCGCCTTAGCACACAGCTCGCTGTGAAACACGTCACAGGCTGTCTGTCGCTGATTCATAGCAACTCTCTCAGTGGTTTGTCCCCTTCTCTGCTGGCCTCTAACGACGGATGTTCAACAGGCTCAAATTCATAACCCTGAGCGCACGACCACCCGACGGCAGAGGAAATCCAAGCATAGCAGATCACTAAGAAATGAGGCTAACATGTCAACGTGTATCTTACTCCCCAGTGAGCGTCAACACAGATGCTAAGGAGGATTTGGGGTTCCGCTCGGTTTTGTTCAACGTACTCTGCAAATTTAATGTTTAAGAAAATAACTACAGACCGGCGCTGTGGTGCAGCGGGTGAAGCGACCGCCTGCAATGCTGGCATCCCATATGGACGCCGGTTCGAACCCCGGCTGCCCCACTTCCGATCCAGCTCTCTGCTATGGGCTGGGAAAACAGTGGAAGATGGCCCAAATGCTTGGGCCCCTGCACCCACATGGGAGACCCAAAGGAAGCTCCTGGCTCTGGATTGGTGCAGCTCTAGCCATTGCGGCCATTTAGAGAGTAAACCAGTGGATAGAATACCTCTCTCTGCCTCTGCCTCTCTGTAATCCTGCCTTTCAAAGAGAAAGAAAGAAAGAAAGAAAGAAAAAGAAAGAAAGAAAGAACGAACGGGAGGGAGGGAGGGACGGAGGGAGGAAAAAAAAATAACACCATTGAGAGGGTGCTCCTCTCTTGGGACAGCTAAATCCCACGGTCAGTGCTCTAGAAGCTGTTTTCATACCTCTCTTCCACTTCTCCATATTGAAAGTCAGGACTGGAAAATGCCCTAGCACTCAGCCCAAACCCCAAGTTTTACAAATGCGGGAATAGAGGCTCAGATGAGGAGGCAAGCCACTTTCTCCAGATCACAGTCTTTGGTGGCAACACCAATACCCAAACCGAGGATGCATTAGACTGCGGTACCGCACAAAGAACCAGCTGTGTCTCCAAAGAGAAGGGTCACCCAACATCCCGCCGGAACCAGCTGAGCCTCGGTGCCTGTGCCGCCCCTTGTGGAGCTCAGCAATGGCAGCGTGACTTGTTCTGCCTATGAAACGTGGGTGGAAGTGGCACGTGTCTCTTCTGATTGCTGTGTATGCCTGCCCCCTGCCACAAGACAGCCGGTGTCCTGAGCCTGGGCTGCTCTGTCTGCAAGGATGGCAGAGTGAAGAAGATAAACAGCACAGCCCTGGGGCCCCTGGATGGATGCATCACATGGGCAGGAAAGAAGCCACTGGATTGGGGGTTCCTCTGCATCTGTCCTGACCACTGTGCAGGTGTCACAACCCTGAGCACCAGCTGAGAACCTCAGGCTCCCAGCGACACTACAAGGAACTTAAGAGCATGGGGCCGGCGCCATGGCTCAATAGGCTAATCCTCTGCCTGCGGCACTGGCACACCGGGTTCTAGTCCCAGTCGGGGCGCTGGATTCTGTCCCGGTTGTACCACTTCCAGGCCAGCTCTCTGCTGGGGCCCGGGAGTGCAGTGGAGGATGGCCCAAGTGCTTGGGCCCTGCACCCCATGGGAGACCAGGAGAAGCACCTGGCTCCTGGCTTCGGATCAGCGTGGTGCACTGGCCGTGCACACCGGCCACAACAGCCATTGAAGGGTGAACCAACGGCAAAAGGAAGATCTTTCTCTCTCTGTTCCTCTCTCACTGTCCACTCTGCCTGTCCAAAAAAAAAAAAAAGAGCATGGGAGTTACAGTTTGCCTGGGTTCAAATCTCACCTGCGGTGTGACCGTGGTGCCTCGGCTTCCTCATCTGTCATATCAGGATAACACCGTCCCGTGTCAGTCCATTCAGTAGGCTCAAACAGGACTCACACTGGGAAACTGCAAGAAACAACTTTCTTTTTTTTTTCTCATCATCCTGAAGACCAAGAAGTCCACGATGAAGGAGCAGATGTGTCTGCCTGCTTCCCGGACAGTGCCTCTGTGTGCCCTCACCTGACAAGGGGGACCGAGAAGCTCCCTGGAGCCTCTTTCACAAAGGCAACAACCCCACTTAGGGGACTTCTCCCTCATGACCGAACCCCCTCCTAAGCTCCTCACCTCTTTCTACTATTGCACTGCTGACACAGTTTCAACACATGAATCGGGGGAGCACACAGACTTCCAGACCACAGTGGGTTCCCACCCCTCAGAAACAGGGCAGGGACTCAGTGACCCAAGCGTCTGTGTTGAGGACTCTCCGTGAATGTTGGCTGTCACTCACAGTGCTCTCTTCCTGGCTGACACTGCAGGGACAGTAAGGGGCAGGGTTAGGGGCCTCTGAGTCTGTTCCCCATCACTGCACACGTCACCGGCCCCCCTGAGTGACACCCATGACCCTCTCTGTCCCTGCAACAGGCCAAGGGCAAAAGCTCTCTATCTATCCTGGGACGGATGTTGTGGGGGGGTGGTAGGACCAGGGCCCCTAGATTCAGGCTGGTTAGGGTTCAAATCCTCTTGGTCTCTTCATTCCTAAGTGACTCACCTCAATGAACCTGCATCCCCATCTCTGAGGTGAGCTAAGGATTCAGTGGGATGATTCATGGAAAATTACCTATCCCAGTGCCTGGCACGCTGCAGGGCTCAGCCGATGTCAGGATGGATGACAGCATTCCCTTCCGCCAGCACCAGCCAAGGTGAGTGTGGGCAGGAGGGGAGTCGTAGGGGGTGCACCAGCCAAGGCGAGTGTGGGCAGGAGGGGAGTCGTAGGGGGTGAGCCATCTTTCAGAGTGCCGAAATGAGCAACGGGGGTGACTGCAGCCTAACCTTCCCTCCCCAGAGATCTCTGGTTGAGGGCACCATGTCCAGAGAACACAAAGCACAGGACCCTTCCCTCATCACCCAGCAGCCATGGACTCCCAGGGCGAGTACCGGCTCCCAGGCTTGGTCGCCAAGCTGGGGGAATCTGTCGTAGGGTCCACCAGGGTGCTCCCTGACCCGAGTGGAAGTGAGTTTGATGGCCTCGGGTCAGGGTCAGAGCATGCAATGATGCACCTGTGTCCCTTTGCACAGGGATCCTCCGTTGGAAGGAGCCCCCTCCCTCGTGCCCTTCCCTGCCCTGGACCTGGCTGGAGGAGAGCTGGACCATGGTTGGTTGGAGGCAAATCCCACAAGCCCAAGCCTCTGAGATGCTGGCTTGTGCCTTCTCTGCAGGACATCTCAGCCTCTCCAATGAAGCCTTTAACGCAGTTGCATCTGCGAAGGGAGCCTGCCGGTCTCCACGGCTGCGTGAGGTTGAATTCAGCAGGCGCTGCCCCTTGCGCATGCCACAAGTGTAGTTCTTAGGCATTCATATGCTCCCTCACATGTGGCTGGATAGAGGAAGGTACCTGAATGGAAGCTTTGCTGACCGCACTGCCCTGCACTGTGATGACCCCTGAGCTTGGGGGCTGGGGGGGCGGGTAAGTGCAGGGACCAGGAGACATCCAGGGCTTCCCATCCCAAGGTGGGAGACCAGACCAGGACTTCCACGGTGCCCTGGGCAAACCCTGCTGCAGGAGCCCACTGGGCTTGCTGTTTGTTTTCCTTCTGAAATCTCACTGCATATTAGCGGCACTCACTCCCAGAGCCTCTGCATCCATCACAGCAAACCGTGGGGGTGGGAAGGAAAGCTTCCTATAAGGGAAGCATCCCCAGACTCTGCTGCAGAGGCGGGGGAGGTGGCGCCAGGGGTCTGCAAGCAGAAATGGTCCAGAAATTGCAACATCTTCAGTAACAAAATTGCAGGGCAACATTTCAGGGTAGTTTAATTTCCTATTGCATTTTAATGACCGATAAAGACAATATAAAAATGTCATTTATAGAGCAACTCCAGCATTTTGTTTTCCTGGTTATCCTAACACACCAATTGAAACATACAAGATGATTTTTTTTTAGAAAAACATTTTTTCGCCCAACACTGTAATCAATCTTTCAGGCTGCGGATCTGGTGGTTACTGCCTGTCACGGAGTCAAGACAGAAGTTTGCAGGAGTTAAACAGAATTCTGCTCTTCTCCCGTCGGGGAGCGAGGCCAGGGCATCCTTGCAGGCTCCATCCTTGGGCATTTTTCCAGTTCCGTTTTCTCTGACCGGCTCTCAGTGGAAAGTCACAGTGTTTCCATTCTTGGGAACTGGGGTGGTACTGGCTGGGGACACATGAGGGACCCTTGGGGTGCTGGGAGGTGAGGGCCAGTTTGTTTTTTTTTTAATCCGCTAGCTTCATGCTCCTCTTTTCACCACCCAGAACCAGCCCAAGCCTACCAAGGGAGGGGAGGTGGCACGGACTGGGCAAGGCAGGGGACAGCACTGTGGGCCCTGCTCAGCCTGTACCCCATGGTGGGAGATGCGGCCTGCTGAGGTGATGGCCTCTGCTCCTGCAGCACTCAGCCTGCTCATCTCACACAGCCTCCTCCTCCTCCTCTCAGTGGGGCTGCCAGGATGTCTACAGTTGGACTTCTGCTGCTAGCAACATTGCAAAGGCAGAATCTGGCTTCTCAGCAAGGACTTCGGGCTTGTCAAACTCAATCACCTGAGAGCCAGAGAAGAAGATGTGAAATTCCCAGAAAACAGCGCCCCCCCCCCTCCTCCCCACTCCCACACCTCCATAAAGCCCCAACCACTGAGAGGTGAAGCCAGCGCCAGCCTCCGGCACCTTCCCATTTTCCATGACCAGGACTTGGTCGCAGTTGAGGACGGTGTTCAGGCGGTGGGCGATGGTCAGCACGGTGCAGCCTTTGAAGGCGTCCTTGATGGTGCTCTGGACCAGGGTGTCCGTCTTGGAGTCCATGGACGCAGTGGCTTCATCCAGCAGAATGATCTGCCGGGGAAGGAACACAGCACACGTCATGTTGAGCCAAGGCTGTACTGAGAGGCAAATGAATGGCCTCAGCTCTACTTTAAAACAGAGAGAGAGAGAGAGAGAGAGAAAAGCTGAAAAGGAACGAGCTAAGGCTCGAGCCATGTGATAAAAGTCCCATCGCATCACCTTCATCTGCCTCCAAGGGACGTGTTGGAGGAAGCAGCAAGGCTGTATATTCCTTGCTTCTCTTGTAAGTGGCTTATTCCAGCCTTCCAAACCGGTTGGAGGAAGCAGTGCACAGTATGTACTGCGCTAGCACGAGCCAGTGTCCAGTTAGAAAAAAACAGCACCGATGTTTGTTTCCTATTGCTGCTCTAAGGTGTTACCACAAGCTTAGAGGTTTAAAATGGGTTTATCATCTCACAGTGCCAGGATTCAGAAGTCCTGGAACCAAGGCATTGTCAGTGCTGCACTCCTCTGGGCTCCCAGGGAATAAACTTTTTCCTGGCCTTCTGTGGCCTCTGTGGCCTCCTGTGTTCCTTGGCCCATGGCCTCTTCCTGATGTCATCACATCTCCTTCTCCCCCCAACTCTCCTGCTCCCTTCTTAGGAAGACTCCTGGGACTGCGCGAGGCCCCATCTCAAGACCCTGGACTTCATCAGGTCAGTCAAGTCCCTTCCGCTGTGTAAGTTTCCGTGTACCCAGGCGTGGACCGCTTTTTGGGGGAAGAGGGGTCTAGTCCACCTGCCACAGCAGCCAATTTGATTTGACAGATCATGGGGTTTGACCTCGGCCCCTAATTCTGCCTGACCTTGAGCTAGCCACTGAACTCCTCTGGGCTCACGGATCCCTCGCAGGTAAAAGGAGACCGTGCCTCATCGTGAGCACGAGATGCAAAGACTCACAACCCCTCTGCAGGGAGTGGGGTCACAGTGGGCACCCAGGCAGCCCCTGGCTCCCTTGCCCCTGCCATTAGCGTGTCTAGACGACACACACAATGGGTTATGTCTTTGCTGGGGACTCTGAGAACAGGATTTCTAACGCAATAGCCATGGCCCCCCGCTGGAAACCAGAAAGCAGGGGAGGCTAGGAGAAGTTGGGTCTCAGTCTTGCAGTTCTCACAGAAGAACCTTCTGCTGGCCTTCTTAAGTGTCCTGGGTACTGTTCATGAGGACTCGGAGTTGTTCAGCAACCAAGTGGGAATGCTTGAGAGGCGAGGTTTCCAAAGACGTCCCACATAGACGAGCAGAGAGAATACCAAACCAGACCTCCCAGGCAGAACCTCGGGAGAGCCAGGAGCCGTGGCCCGAAATTACGGTGATTTCTCCATTTTTACCTCTCATCATTTGTCTTCAGAAACAAAATGATTGTTTTTTTTAAATGGTTCAATTGCTCTCTCTCTGCTGAAAACCAAACATGTGGCTCCAGCTCCTGGATGGAGTGGCGCTGCAGGAAATATCCACAATTTGACCAATCCATTTTCCGTGCTGTGTCCTTACTTTTGAATTACGGAGAAGCGCTCGGGCCATACAAAGCAGCTGGCGTTCCCCTACTGAGAAGTTTTCCCCATTTTCTGTGACTTCTGCCTGTAATTTTTCCGGGAGTTTCATTATCTGTAAAACACAGAAAGTGCCACATTTATGCTGATGATCTATAAAATGCCCCTGCGTCGTCTCTATTGATTGCCCCCTTCTCGCGCATTCATCAGCTTGCTTTATTTTACCGCGGAGAAGAAGGCGCAAAACAACAATCATTTCAATATTGCAAACAGGCACCGCAGAAGGGCTGGGGAGGAGGCGGACATTAATAATTTAAAATCACAGTATGACTCATGGAACCTGCGGACAGCTCACAGCGGAGGACAACTCAGGGCTGCGGGGAACACACAGACAAGCGGAAATGGCACCAGGGTCGCTATCTCCATGACAAAATAGAGACGGGACACAAGAGCTTTCTGGTCATCAAGGAAGGGGAAGGGGAAGACGGGCTCTGATGCAGCCAGAGGAGCAAGTGAGAGCCGCTATGGGGGACACTCACGCTGCAGGCTGTGTGGGGGGTCCTGTTCGCCTGCTGACCACTACCCTCCCTGCCCCCCAGGGCTGTAGCTCCTACCAGACAGGGCCCTCCCAGACATTCCTGGAACATACCACCCACTCATTTTCCTGGGGTTTCTGGGTTCTGATACCCGAAAGAGGTCATTGGCAGAGTAGTATGGCACTCCACCTGCTCTAAAACGAGGGGTCAAGTCGACTTCCCCAAACCATAATTTCTGCCTCTCTAAACCTAACAGTAAGGATGCCATCCTCAGAGGATGTCTGAGTGACACCACTCATGCAAGAGCTCATGAGGGTTTATTGCAGAGCCCTGGAAGTGGTGCCCAGTGTGGCTTTTATTAAGAGTCAGTAAGGACTGCCTCCTACCAACTCCCAGGGCTCCCAAGTGCTGGCCCCGCTGCCCGTCACGGTAAACCCAGGGCAGGTGTCTGGGGCACTGGTGCCGGAAGATGTCTCCTGAACAACCCCCCCCCCCTCCGGAGACCTACTGTGTCTCTCATGAATGTTCTCTCTAGAACCTGCCAGAGCATCTCGTCGGCATGACTTCCAAAGGGGTCCAAGTTATACCTGCAATGGAGGAAAGGATGGGAGCTGGATTTCTGATGGACGCGAGGACGGGGGCGCTTCTGTAGCACATGGGAGACAATGGAAGATGATGAGTCCACAGCTGGACCCAGGACCATGGTCCGTAAGACCCTGACCTCAGGCCATGAGACCAGGGACTTGCAGCTCCGTGATGGAGCAGAGAGCATGGAGAAGGTCACAGAACCGTGGGCCTCTGCCCAGAGGTGGCACCCAGCAGGACACACTTTGTTCTCTGCAGTGCGCTGTGCTGTGCAGCGGGGTGGGTTGACCCTAAACAAACTCTAGGCAGAGGGAGGGTGAGAGAGAGAGCACTCCTCTGGCCACTCCATTCTGTTCACTCAACCTGCAGAGGCCAGAGGGCCTTCTGCAGCTCGCAGGGCCCCATGGAGGACGGAGGACAAGGACCCAGTGCCTCTCGGCAGGCATGAAGTGAGACTCGGCATGCATCTATCGGAGGGCCAGCTCTGCATACAGGAAATGCAGCTCCCCTCCTCCAACTGGTGCTCAAGGGGAGCCATGTCCCTCTCCCCAGGGGGCTGGCCGCTGCACAGGGCTAATAGAGAAACTGTGCTTTGCCCCTTTCCCGGTGCCTTGACATCAGATCCTGAGCGCCACAGAAGCTGCAGCCCTGCTGTTTTTGCAGTTGAACAGCTTCTGCTTGCTCTTAGTAGGAACGAATTAGTGCACTTCCCAAGGGATGGCTACACATGGAGGGTAGCCGCTTATTCTAGCGTGCAAAGAGGGGCACTTTAGAGAGTGCCATTGCTAAACCTGAAGGGATGCTGGGATGCATGCATAAAATAGGGCTGTCTAGGACCTGTCAGCAGAACTGCTTACCCTGTGGGTAGAAGCATCTTGCTGATTAATGATGTAGTTTATGCAGTAGCAGTAAGGCCCAAGACCCTGGTCCCCAGCTCCTCTCAAGGCTTTCCCTAGCACCAGGCACCACAGTGCCCAGGAGCCCCTCCAGACTCTGCTTCCCTGAGCTAGGCCAGCCCGGGGCTGGCCATGCCGTGAGGACTTTGCAAAGGTCCTGGCCGGTCTGATCTCACTTTCCGAAAATAGGAAATGCACAATGATCAAAAGCAGCTACCTTACTGTACCTACAAACAGGACAGGATCCTGGGGGATCGCAGTCAGCTTGGTTCTGAGGTCCTCCAAGCCCACGGTGCAGATGTCCACTCCGTCAATGAAGATGGTGCCCCCCGCGGGCTCCACCAGGCGAAACAGCGCCATTCCTAGCGACGACTTCCCTGGGAACCACAGAGGCAAAGGTGAGAAGGCAGACATCCATTCCTACTTCCATCACACTCAGCTGTTTCATTGCGGGAGTTTGTAAGGCTCTGAGCAAGTAGGGATTCCTCACACTGAGGGTGCCCCCGGCTTGCCCTAACACAGTTAATCTGCCCATCCTGTGCTGTCCTGTGCTTGCAGGGACTGTTAGCTTGCGACCCATTCCTGAGAGTCTCATCTCACTAGAATGGTCATCATCTAATTAATTCAAGAACAGCTGTGCGTTTGCTTCCAACTCTCCACACCCATTCAACCTGAAATCCTAATTTACAGTGAAGAGATCTGAGGCAAGATGGCAGGCCAGCCCTGCACACAGCCACCACATGCCCTGCCCTGTGTGGCTTAGGCAGCATGCGCTGGGACAATGCCAAGGAAACAACCTAAAGAAACAGGAGCAGCGCTGGTCCTCACCAGAGCCCGTCCTCCCGACAATGCCGACCGTCTGCCCGCTCTCAATGTTCAAGTTCAGCCCACTGAGGACCAGGGGCGTGTTGTCTCTGTACCGCATCTGGTAGTCTTTGAAGGTTATCTCCCCACGGCTGGGCCAGTCCTTGGGACAGGGCCCTACTTTGAGAGGATGAGTGCGCTCAGGAATGCAGGTCTGAAAAGCAGAATGTGACCCTTAATCGCCATTCATTTTTCCTTGCATTTAGTTCACTCACTCTCATAATTCTAGGGACTGGGACTCGCAGAGGTGAACTAGTAGGGACCCTGTACCCAGGGGACATCCTAATTCTAGTGCAGATGTTACATATCTTAAACAGGAAAAAGGTATACATGAAATGAAGACAATAAGAGTCCTGTTGAGGGTCGGAGAAGGTATGTGACATTGGAGCTGAGACCAGCGAAGCCAAGGGGATGCTGCCACCAGATGACTCAAGTCCACAGCCTTGCGGGTAGCAGGCAGAGCTGGTGCAAAGGCCCTGAGGCCTGGAGGAGCTTGGGCCATTTAAGGACTAGAAAGAAAAGCCCTGTAACTGGAGTTTGGTGAACGCAAATAAAGATGCTTCCCAGGACTAAGTAAGAGCTCCCGCAGGGCTGTGTGGGCCTGGGCATGTGTTAGCTGTGCGACTTGGAAATCTCAGACCAAGCCTTGAGATTTGCAGAATTGGACCAGCCATCATCTGAACAGCAAGAGTCAGGGTGCTAGAGGTAGGGAGAGGACAAGAATGGAGGGTGTCCAGCTCAGAGGTCTCTCTAGAGTGGCCTGGAGAAGGCAATTTAATTTCCTAAGAGTCGAAGCAATGCAAAGTCTGATTAAGGCGAGCAGCAGCTTGGCTTTGTCATAAGACCAACCCCACCTCTCTAGCTATGAAGTTCCCATTAACCACCAAATAAAGGGATCTCGTGCGACCCCCCTGATCAGCCTAGTCTCTGGCGGATCAACAACCTCAATTAGCTGGGGAAGAAAAGCTGCGTTCTCAGAGTTTTTAACTCCTAGAAGATTTAGAATTGAGAATACAAAGTTAGGAGAAGTAAAACCACAATGATGACATGTTTAGTTTCAAGCATTTCCTCATACTAATAAAATTTGGGATTGTGGTTCTTGTGTAAAATGTGTAATTGAATAATTGATCTAAACATGACCTTAAAGCTCAAAATGTATTGTTCGTATAGGGCATTGGACTGTCAGGAGAACTTAAAGCTCTCTAGATTTATAAGTTTAATTTATTAGATTTATACAAACACCCGAAGATTTGTGAAATCAGATCACGGAGGTACTTAAAAAGGAAATTGAAGGTATTAAATTTTAAAATGCAGTTTAAAATGCTTTAGAGGGTTTAATTAAGTTTGTAAATGGGGCCAAACACTATTCAATGGTCCTTAGAAGTGACTGCTGGAATTGGCTGGACTTCTTTTCAGACAATAGCGGGATTTGCACGTTGAATATAAAAGTTTCTAAAGAAGAGATACATTGTGTTCCTTTTTCTTTCAATTGACAACCTCAGCCAATCAAATACTAATTTTTAGAAACCAAAGCAAGCCGCTCAACTGTCTTTCCTGATGTAGAAACAACCCTTAAGGAATTTTGTAAAGAAAAAAACTAACATCCAACATCAAGGGCTTGGACTGTATTGTGTACACAGGTTTCAAGAAGAGGGGGTGACCAGTAGGATTCTGGGTTTTTTAGAGATCTTTTTTTTACATCCAAAGAGATCAAATATTTGTCTAAGAGCTGCCAGAGTCCCCATGTCCCCTGGTGCTCATGCAGTCATTTCTTACCGAGATGTATTCCCTTAGCAGCTCCACAGAGGTGAATTTGGCTTGGGTCTCGGTTCCCGTGCGCACACACACTTGCAGCAGCCCGCTGAGCTGTCGGGAAGGAACCATCCGTCAGTCAGAGTCCTTTCCTCCCTCAGTTCTGCTGAGCTGCCTCTGCCTCTCTGGGGACAGCCCTTGAGACCCAACCCTCCCCTGCCTCACTGGGCACCACACAGAAAGGAGGCCTGCATTCCCAGACACCTGCTGGCAGAAGCCATTCCTACGCGTGCATTTGCCTTTAAACACCTGCTCTGTGTTGAGAAACAAATGGTGACTACCTTTTCCCCTGGGCCTGCACACAGTGGGAGGCACACACGCTTCTGTCCAGAGATGAGATTCTGTCCCTTGCTGCTACTTGTACCCTCCCCACTCCACCCAACCTGCAGCCCAGAAGCACCTGGAAACTCAGACCCACCCCCCCAGACCATCAACCCTATCTGTTTGCTGTAGACACGAGAAGATCAAGGCTTGCTGTGGTGACCCCTTTAGGCGAGACCAGCCCCAGAAGCCACCTCCCCCTGGAGACCTGGATGCAGCCATGTGAGATCAGGCCCAGCGGTGCGGCCCGTCCCCAAACCTTTGTTCATTTGCAAATCCCTGAAACCTGTAAAGTTCACCTCATTTGGAAAAGAGGTCTTTGCAGGAGGAAGTAAGGCTCCTGAGATCACTCTGGATTATCAGGGTGGGCAACTAGGTCCCGGGATGGGTGTCCAAATAAGATACAGAGGAGACACAACGAAGAGAGAAGGGGCTGTGAAGGCGGAGCCAGAGGCTGTAGTGACACAGCCACGAGCCAAGGAATACGGCAGCCACCTGAAGCAGGCAGAGTGGGAACCGTCGAACCGTCGTCCCTGGAGCCTGCAGACGGAACACGGCTGTGCTGACAGCCACCCCCCCCCACCCCAAGTAACGAGAGAATGAACTCCCCTGGTTATGAGCCACCAGGCTGGCGGCACATTTGCTACTCCAGCCCCAGCAAATACATACAGGTGGTAGACCAACAAAGCACCAGTAGGGAGTGGGGAGAAAAGGCAGGGACGAGGAGGCAGTCAAGACAGGTGTGTTCATGAGCAGCTACTGCTGTGGACGACTGGGATGCCGTGCCCTGGGGAGCTCTGGGAGAGCCTTATAGCAGACCTCAGAGCTGTCCCCACCCCAGGGCAAGGAAGCTGGGCATATGCAGTCATCCCCCCGTATCCATAGGGGATGGTTTCAAGACCCCTGAAACAGGTGCAGGACAGGGCCAGCACTGTGGCTCAGTGGGATAAAGCTGGGCCAGCAGCACCTGCATCCCGTATGGGCACTGGTTCAAGTCCCGGCTGCTCCACTTCCAATCCAGCTCCCTGCTAAAGTGCCTGGAAGGACAGCAGAGGACAGCCCAAGTGCTTGGGCCTCTGCCACCCACATGGGACACCTGGAAGAAGCTCCTGGCTCCTGGCTTCAGCCTGGCCCAGCCCTGGCTGTTGCGCTGTTTGGGGGAGTACATCAGCGGATAAAAGATCTCTCTTTCTCTCTGTCTCTCCTTCTCTCTCTATAACTCTGCTTTTCAAATAAATAAACAAATCTTTAAAAAGAAATAGGTGCAAGGCTTGCCTGTGCCCTATGCACATCCTCACATACACTTTAAATCAGCCCTCGACAACTTACAACACCTAGTGTAACATACATGCTATGTACATAACTGCTGTTACATTCCATTGATGAGGGAATAAAGACAAGAAAAAATGACTGTACAAAACACATCCCTCGTGATGGTTTTTGATGTGCACTTGGTTGAATCCGTGCATGCAGAACCTACAGAGACAGAGGGCTGACTGCGTCCACAGACTCCCTTCCATCCGTGAGCCGCCTGCTCCTGGTGGGCTGATCTCTGCACCTCTGCCTGCTCCTGGAAGGGCGGGGGCACCAACACTACCTCCCTGCGCCACAAGGTGAGCTGGAAGAAGGTCCAGTCCCCTGCCACCAGTACCCTCCGATTCCTGAGCAGTGGCCATCCGCCGTCTACTAAGAGCTGCTTTCCCAGGGTTGATGGGGCTAGACAAGATCCCTGCACACGGCAATGTCCATGACCCAGGATGATGGTACGGAAGCACCACGTGCCACCCCAGAACGGGGCACAATTTGTCTGTTTCACTGTGTGGAAAGGCCAGGGGTGACTTTAGATGGGGTGACTCAGGGAGGCTGGGAGCCCAGGCATTTAGGTCAGAAGTGCCCCCGCTCTCCCCCCACCCCAGACAGACTCCACGTGAGAGCTCTGGTAAAAGCAGCCAGTGCTGTGGCACAGTGGGAAAAGCTGCCACCTGCAACACGGCACCCCAGTGGGCGCTGGTTTGAGTCCTGGCTGCTCCACTTCTGATCCAGCTCCCTGCTATGGCCTGGGAAAGCAGGGGAAGACGGTCCAAGTGCTTGGGCCCCTGCACCCACATGGGAGATCTGGATGAACTCCTGGGTCTTGGGTTTGGCCTGGCCCAGCCCTGGCCATTGTGACCATTTGGGGACTGAAGCAGTGGACGGAAAATCTGCCTGGAGACGTCCTGGCAATCACAACATGGGGCGGGGCGGGTGGAGGGAGAGGGAAGTAATGCTGGCACCTCACGGGTAGAAGCAGGGGGCTGCTAAGCATTCCAACGGTGCCCGGGATGGCCCCCAGACACCAAGATATCTGCAGCGCCACCGTGGGAAGATCCCTCCTTGCAGCCCAGGCAGTGCCCTTGCCCCCGGCTTACACAGCCCGACAGCCCCCAGATTTGTGCACCACTCCAAGCACATGCGCACCCCCGAGCCTCTCCCGGGCCCTTCCACCTGCTGCTTTGTCCTCAGGTCTCAGCGGGAAGTCCCCTCCTGTGGCTGCTGGGTGCCACGCTGCTCCCCGCGACAGTCACAGTAGCCCACTCTGTCACCTCTGTGACACCCACACTCTCTCCGAGGCCTCCTCACCTGTGTACTCGCCCTCTGACTCATCCCAGCTGCCCGCTAGAGGGAAGCCCCGCCAGGGCCCCAAACAGGGGCCGGCGCTGTCGTGCAGCAGGGAAAGCCTACAGTGCCAGCACCCCATGTGGGTGCCGGTTCAAGTCCCAGCTGCTCCACTTCCGTTCTAGCTCCTGGATCGCCTGGGCAGGTCCTTGGGTTCCTACACCCGCATGAGCAACCTGGTAAAAGCTCCTAGCTCCTGGGTTTGGCCTGGCCCAGCCCTGGTCATTGTGGCCATTTGAGGAGTGAACCAGCAGGTGGAAGACCTCTCTCTCTCTCTCTCTCTCTCTCTCTCTAACTCTGTTTTTCAAATAAATAAAGACATTTTTTAAAAAGGAAAAGAAAAAATGGACATGTAGTGATTGTACCTATTTGTCAGGTACAGGGATGTTTCTTTTGCTTTACAATTTTTAAAATTTATTTTATTTGCAGGGCAGACACATAAAAAAATTTTTAAATAAACAGATCTATCGTCTACTGGTTCCCTCCCCAAATGCCCACACCAGGCAAGGCTGAGCCAGGCTGAAGCCAGGGGCCTAGAACTCAATCCAGGTCTCCCACCAGGGAAGCAGGGACTCAACTACTTGAGGCAGCATCTGGTGCCTCCCAGGGTTGGAGGTAGCAGGAAGCTGGGATGGAGAGCAGAGCCGGGGCTGGAACCCACGTACTCCACTTTGGGTACATGCCTGCCCCTACAGCGCTGTTTCAGCTCACGTGTATGTCCCGTAATGACCAAGTCAGGGTCTTCAGCATGTCCCTCACCACCAACACTTGCACCCCTTTGAGAGGAGAACATCATAAATCCATTCTGGTAGTGAACTTGAAATATCCCGCGCAGGTGATTTAGGGGGAACCCACAGCGACCAGCACAGCGCCTGGCCCCTAACAGGTGCTCAGCGGACACCTGGTGAGTGAATGGATGCACCTTGCCCTGGAGAATGGCAGGTGTGTGCTTTAAGATCCGCCCCCTATGGCCTGGGCAGTTGGCGCCGTGCGGGCCCCCCCCCCCGCCCCGCCCCGCGCTGCTAGCTGCCTCTCCCCTGCACCCATCCGCCTTCTGCTCCGTGGGATTTCGCACCAGTTTCCCATCTGTCTCGGGACTCTCCTCTCTCCTCACGTGAAGCTCTGTCATTCTGAGACTGTGTTCTTCCCAGAGCGGGGAGGGGATGCTCAAAAAGCCCCAAGGCCAGCTGGAGGAGAGGCGCCCCCGAGATCCCCGGTGTGCACGTTGTCCGCCCTCACACGAGTGTTGGAAAAGGAGCTGGCAGACAGCTGACGACGTCGCGCCAAAGCCTGACCTCCGCTGGGGAAAACTGTTTTGCTTGGATCAGTTAAAGAAGACTGCTCAGCATCATCTGTTTGACATTTTACCAGGCAACAACAAATGAAAACATCCGTCAAGGAGGGAAACTGGCTAACCCAGGAAATCCATCTGTCCCCCTAAGACAGAGGGCTGGGAAGATGGTTGGGCTGCTCCCTGCCTTCTCCAAATGCCTTTAAAATAATAGATGAGGGCTTGCATTATGGCACGGCAGATAACACCGCCGCCCTCCGATGAGGGCAACCCATACGGCTGCTGGGTCGAATCCCAGCTGCTCCACTTCTGATCCGGCTCCCTGCTAACGGCTTGGGAAAGCAGCAGATGACCCAAGTGCTTGGACTCCTGCACCCACGTGGGAGACCCTGATGAACCACTTCGCTCCTGACTTCAGCCTGGCCCAGCCCTGATTGTTGCAGCCTTTTAAGGAATGAACCAGCAGACAGAAGCTCCCTCTCTCTCTCTCTCTCTCTCTCACTCCCTGTCTCTCTCTCTCCTCTCTTTCTGTCTCTCCCTCTCTCTCTCCATAACTCTTTCAAAACTAAACACACAAATCTTAATAATAATAATCCGATCAAAGAAAATTTCAACAAAGAATAGAACATTAACAGCAAGGGGACTGGGAATGGATAGCATTAGGTGAGTGACAAATTTCTGCAAAGATGGAAAGGATGAAAGTCTTTTGACAAAATGGAAGCAGAACATGCTAAGGCGCTTCACAAGCGAGCAGAGGCCCCAGGTGTGAACTCAGGGGCCCCAGAGAGGCTGCCCGAGTGCTCGCTGTCCACAGACAACTGCTCTGTGGGACTTCCCTCCCCCTCCCCTCTCTCCTGGCCAGAGAGAGCTGGACACTTTATCCCCAGGCACCCCACCTTTCTCCCTGTCTGGAGCTCCACATGCAGACACACACACACACACACACTCACACACACACTCTCACACACACTCACACACACTCACACACACACACTCACATACACACACTCACTCTCATGATTTTCTCTAAAGAAACTGAATTAACTCTCCGAGGAAGAAATGACTCTGAGAGCAGTCTCTTAGAATTCTTCTTTAAATTTTTAAATCTAGCATTTGGAGGCCTGAAGGCCAGATCCATGGCTGCTTTCCCAAAGAGACGCTGACCTGTGGGAAAGCATGCCAGCCACCCACCCATAGCTAGAAAGCTTCCCAGAGACCCAGCGTATGGAACAGTGGATGGAGTCCTGAAAACCCAACCCAGCCTCCCAGTCCTAAAAACAAATGGAGCAAGGGGCAGATGAACAAAACCAAGGGCAAGAAACGGCAAGAACTGAATAACCAGAAAGAAACACTGACACAGTGAAAAATAGATGTGTGTTGGAAGAAGAAAGTTTAAAAGGGAAATTAAACCCAACTCTAATGAATGTTAATATCCTCAAGAAGATTCAAAAACATATTATATACATTTTATACATTTTCAAATGATTCACCTAAAAATTGAGACAATAAGAAAGAGCTTGAGGGAATTAAATACATGACTATATGTTCATCAATTAAAATTCAAAGGTATGATTGGACGACAAAGTTTAGGAAAATTTCCAGAATAAAATAAACAGACCAAAAGAAAATGGAAACTTTGAGATAAAAGAAACATAGAAGCTTGATACAAAAAAAAATCCAGTAATCAACCAATATGTGTCACAGAAAGAGAAAACAGAGAAAAAGAAGCAATTGTCAAAATGGAACTGAAAAAGGAGAGAGTTTTCCTCAGTGGAGGAGAGATCTGACTTTAAAGGAACCCCACATCAAACGGAGCCTGTCAGGAAAAAGCCACACTCAGATTCCTGGACCTCCACGGAGCCGAGGCTAACGACCACATTAGAGACATTTCCAAAGAGACAAGTAGGAAGCATGTGTCCAGGAACAAGAGTCAAACCAGTACCAGACCCAGACAGCCTGGGTTCAGATCCCGACCCTCACGTGTGACAGGTGCCGTGACTTTGGGAGGTTCCTAAGCCTCAGTGTCCTCACCTGCAGACTGGAGACTACAGTGCTCCCTGGGGCTGTTGTGAGGGGTGAGTGAGTTCATTCACGGGAAGGACCCTGCCCCCCTGCCCGGAGCACCACACACACCACAGGTTCCCTGGCTATCATCTTTAGTCAAAAGAAAGAATGCAATCAAGAAGTCGGTGGCAATGGAGTCACCTCTCCATGGCTCCTTTCACTCTCCCTACTGTGCAAAAGCCATGTGATCTGGTGGAATGCGTTGAAGCACCAACCCTTACCTAATCCAATGGTCTCATTCCATTAAACTACTCATTAGCTCCAGGATGCCTAAATGAATCTAAGAATAAAGTTCGGGGCTCTTGCCTACTAGTTTCCTCATACTTTACCCTGCTGAAGACCCCCAAGGCTGCTGGTCACCACTGCACAACTATGAAGCAAGCCATCATGGGAGGACAACAAAGGCAAGAGCCATGATCAACTGTGCCTGAAGCCCACACGACTGCCAAACTCTTAATGACGTGAGCTGCTAAGCTCTCTTTATTGGCCAAACCCATCTGAAATGGGTTTCTGCTCCCTCCATCCAAAAGCACCCTCCAGGCCAGGCCCAACCTTGTACCAGGTGTTACCTGGATGATGTAAGACAAGGACAAGCCTTTGGACGAAGCGCTGATGGAAGAGAAACTCAGCGTCACCAACAAAGCCACAATGAAGGTGACAACGTTCATGAGGACGTCCATCCTTAGAGCAAACCAGCGTAGGGCACAGTTAAAGTACAGGAGGTGGCTGGAGTTTTCGTCATTCAGCATCTTAAACCTAAAAGGAAGAAAATAAGGAAATCAGACACCACAGGAGCTCAGCCTGTGCTTCCACCACAGTGGAAGTACTGAAGAAATAAGGCAAGGAAGGTTTAACCCCAGGGGAAATGCACTCTCCCACAGTGAGCTCTTACAGAAGTGAGCGCAGACCCAGGGGCATCAGAATCTGCCCCCACACACACACACGTCTTCAATTTGCACATATTTGGAGAAATTCCGGGTGGCAGTTGACCGTGGAGACAAGTTGGCTCTTTCTGTCTTCCCTAGAAATTGCAACTGAAACCCATAGCTGGGAACAAAAGGTGCTGAGGGTCGCCCAGTTGAACTTCAAAGGGTCCCCAGCTCACAGTCAGCCACTGCTCCAGGGCCTTGTGGAATTGACAATTAGCCCCTTTGAGCTATAGAGATAATGGACTGTGTTGTGGAGGAAGTGATAATAAGGAGAGAAGAGAGGATGCTTGCTTGGTTCTCTCTCTAAATCTGAGAGAAGCTTTAAGATGATTGTCTATAAATCTGGGGGTCTTGTCAAAGGGAGAAGCCTGCTTCATGTCCACTGAGACAAAAAGGAGACAAAGCAAGGGCAGAGTGACAGACAGGCAACATGGTAGAAGATGGAGGCAAGACCCACCCTGGAGTTCCCAACTCTCTGGCTGTGTGGGAGGTGAATCCTGCCCAGTCCTGCTGTTGCTGGAGCTGAGAGGAGCCGGCAATGACATGCAAGGCTGCAGTCTTGATGGGGCCTCTGCATCAGTGCAACACAGAGGAACATGGCCAGGCAGAGCGCACCCGAAAACCCAGCAAACCTTAGCGACCCAGTGGAGTGAGATATGGGGACCCGAGAAACGCGAGCGCGCCATTCCTTCATCAAATCTCTGCTCTAAGTGCTTTCGTAGCAGGAACGTCTCACTGCACAAGATGTGACTCCATCTGGGAAGACCAGAATGTTCCATACAGCTCAGCCCCTGAGTATAATCCAGCCAACAACTGTTTTTGTTTTTTTGTTTGTTTGTTTGTTTCTTTTACTGTGAAAGAGAGAGAGACAGATGCCTTGCCATAGCATATCTACACAGTGTGCTGGATCTGCAGGAATGAACAAGGAAGAGTGGCCCGGAGGCCGGCAGAGGCTCGCCTGAGGATGGACCCAACCCACTCCCCACTTCTCCACCAACCTGCACCAGCCTCAGAGGAAAGGGATAGAGTGTTAAAGATCAGTGCTTTCCAACTGCAAGCCTCCCCTCCTACCCTGACACACACACACACACACACACACACACAGAGAGAGAGAGAGAGAGAGAGAGAGAGAGAACACAGTCTTGCCACACCAAGACTCCGAAGAAAAAGAGAGCTATGATTTGAACTTGAACTTGAACTTGAAGGGTGACATTTTAAGCAGAGGTAGCCAACCACTGGCCAGAGAAGACTTCAGGCTCCATTGCTATCAAGGGCTCTGTGGCCCAGTGGGAGATACACTTCCTCAAAACCACTAGCAGAAACTGTTGGGAAAATTATGAAAACCTCAGTTTGCACCCCTCCAGAGTTAGGGCTCCTGCACTGGCACATCATGGGTGCCCTCAGACACTGCTGCTGCTCGCCACTCTCCAGGTGCCACAAGCCTTGTGTCCTGTGGCACCCGTGGCCAGCCACTATGGGCTCCACAGCTCCCTCCTCCTTCCTGTTTCCACTCCAACTTATTTGTCCCCATGATGTTGTCTGGGAGAAAAACAGCACATATCAGAAGCCCAAGCCCTGTGGAAAGAACATCTTGACAGAGGGAGATCCCACCAAGCACGTAGGGTCAGCTCCCTGACGAAGCTTGAATGGGAGGATCTGTGTATGAGTGGTGTAACAGAACCAGACGCCGTGAAGTCTACACTGAGATCCTCCGTGGCCAAGCGGGGAGACAGCAACAGAGCAAAAGGATTATACACAAGTGTCAAACAATGTTAGCTTTGTGAGGAAGAAAAAGACAGCAAAAAAAGAGTGCCCAAGTGGTAGAGACTGCTTTTTTTTTTTTAACCGACCTTTTTCCATGGCGGCCTTTGAACACAGCTGGACTACATTTCCCAGCATCCTTTGCAGTTAGCCCATGTGACTGAAATCTGGCCAATCAGTGTGCAGAGGTACTAGGGTCGAACAGTGAGGATTTCCCACAGGCTCTTGTACCTTCCTGCCTTTCTTTCCCTCCAGCTGGACACCAAGGGTCCTGGGGAAGACCCCAAGACCCTCAGGAAGGAAAAAAGCTGTGCCCGAGTGTAGAGCAGAGACACCCCCCACCCCAGCCCTGTGAACTCTCAGGAAGAACAGGCATTTAATCCACAGCCAATGAGCCCACTCCGGCTGGTAGCTTTCATGCCCATTTTCGAGGTTTGCAGCTGGAGGACTCCAGAGAAACTGACCAATCTCATCCCTGCATTTAAAAAGAAGGAAGCTGACCAGGCCACTAAAGGGACACAAAATGTGGCCCACACAGATCACTTTTTTTCTTACAAAAAATATACAGCATCGTGAAAAATAATACTAAAAATGTTAAGTAAATTTTTAAAAACAACAGAAAAATGATTCTAAATACATAAAAAGTAATGCATTTTTTAAATAAAAAAAGTGAAAATGTGAAGAGGCTGTTGGTTTTATTGAGTGCTTTCTTTCCTTTTTCTTGCTTGCCCCTAGTTTCTTGAATTGAACCCATTTTCACTTTTAGAGTGAAGAATAAAGAAGTCGCATGGACTGAGCAGACCCCGCTTGCTCTGAGGCCCGCAGTTCCAGAGGCTCAGAGCCTTAGGGTGCTCCTCCCAGTCCTGTCAGCTCTCTCCCTGTGGTCCCGCCCCGCAGCCCCGCAGAGGAGCGGATCCCGGGGTCGGGCGGAAGCAGCGCGCAGCGCCCAGCGCCCGGACTCACTTGCTGATGCAGTCCTCCTCCTTGCCGTAGGCGTGGATGACCCCAAGGCCCTGCATGCAGGAGGTGATGTGAGAGAACCAGGGCGACCGGCTGATGTTCTCCACCTTCTTGAGCTCCTGGACACCTCGGTGGAAGACGCTGCGGGCAAGACCAGAGGGGCCAGGAGGGCTCACGCTGGGCACGGGCAGGACCGACTCCGCGCGTGAGTGAGTGCGTCCATCCCAGGCCGACCAACGTGAGCGCGCCTCAGTTCTGAGCGCCGCCCAGGATGTGAGTCTGTCTTTGAAAACCCAGACTCTCTCATCCAGCGCAGCCCCCAGATAGAAGCCAGCCACTTCTGTTTAATCTGAGAGGCTGAGGGACAGCTGGGGAGAGTTGCCATCTGCTGGTTCACTCCCCGGATGGCTGGGACTGGGCCACACCAAAGCTGGGAGCCAGGAACTCAATCCAGATCTCCTGGGTGGGTGGCTGGGACGCAGTTATGTGGGCCATCACCACTGCCTTCTCGGGTCAGCATTAGCAGGAAGCTGGAGCCAGGAGCTGGAGCCTGGAATCCAGTCCTGGCACTCTGACGTGGATGGCAAGCATCTTAGATTTTATTTATTGATTAGGTAGAGTTACAGATAGAGAGAAGGAGAGACAGAGAGAACAGTCTTCCTTCTACTGGTTCACTCCCCAAATGGTCACAACAGCTGGAGCTGGGCAGATTCGAAGCCAGGAGCCAGGAGCTTCTTCTGGGTCTCCCATGCAGGTGCAGAGGCCCAAGCACTTGGGCCATTCTCCACTGCTTTCCCAGGCGCATTAGCAGGGAGCTGCATCAGAAGAGGAGCAGCTGGGTCTCAAACCGGCGCTCATATGGGATGCTGACGCCGCAAGCAGAGGCTTAAGCTACTACGCCACAGCGCCAGCCCCGATTGCAAGCATCTTACCCACTAGGCTAAACAGCCCCCACCCCTCAACTACTTCCTGAAGTCCAGTCAGAGAACAGTGGTCTGTTCTTCCTCTGGAGACAAACCTGGCCTGTCGACTGTCAGCGCCTGGCTTCTAGAGGCATTTCCAAAGGTCATTTTGCAGCCTCGAGGGCTGACTCTAAAACAGAAGACCTCTCAGGATGCAGCCCCCCACCCCCAGTGTGGGAGCCCCCAGGAGCCCTTGTGAGCAGGAGACCAGTGGCCTCAGGCACACGCGGTAGCTGGCTGGCCAGGGAGAGAGGATTAATGTGGGCTCCTGACTCTCAGCTAAAACCAGCCCAGGGGAGGGGAAACCTCATCAGCTCAGAGCGCAAGTGAGCAAGTCACGTGGACAGTTCAGTCAAGGCCAGCTCTGGTCTGGGCTGTCTTTAGAGCCAGAAGCAAAGGCACAGGGCAATGCAAAGGCTCAGCTAAGTTAATCAGCTGCATGAGCAGGACCGCAGCCTGGAACGATGCTTACAAAGAAGGAGCCACTGTACCAACTGACATCCGGGATGTGCATTAGCTTTCTACCAGGCCTTCAGAAATGTCTCCAGTGTGGCCATCACAATCGACCCTCGAGTTTGGAGCCCGAGGCCACGTGCCCCTTCTCAGTCATCTAGGGCACCATGGGAGATTGGGGTGAGAGCCCGCCCTCCTGTCTCCCAGGGCACCAGTGCTGAATCTATCAGAGTGCAGGGCCCCTGGGCAAACAAGCCTGGGTTTGTAAATTGACTCTTCCAGAATTTGGGGGACCATCTTTAAGAGCCCCAACGTCTAGCCCAGGGCAGAGCACATCGAGGTACAAACTTGTGTTCTGCTGGTTTTTAGGGAAACTCTTCAGTTTGCATAACCTCTTATTCCTTTCAAAATTGTTATTTATTTAAGAGCCAGAGGGAAGGAGAAAGAGAAAGAGAACTCTTATCTAACGGTTCACCCTCCAAATGACCGCAATGGCAGGGCCTGGGCCAGGCTGAAATAGGGCTCCAGGAACTCAATCCAGGTCTCCCACTTGAGTAGCAGGGACCCAACTAACTTCAGCCATCACCTGCTTCTCCCGGGGTGCACATTAGCAGGAAGCTGGAATCCAGAGCAGAGCCAGAACTCAAACCCAGGCCCTCGGACAGGATCCCCCATCCCGACCGGCAGCCTAGCCACGAGGCTAAATACCTGCCTAGTGGTTTCAATTTACAAGGAATCGGCCATGCAGTCTCATCTGATCATCAGAGCGACGCCTTTACAACAGGTGACGCGAACATTGTCACCATGGCCACTTTGGAGACGAGGAAACTGTGGCATTTCCCTCACTTCCCCAAGGTCCTCCTGGCTGGGTTCATGGGTAGAATTGAGGCTCAGGTGCAAAGTCTGTGCCCTTAGCTAATCCCCACTATGCCACCTGCTGAGAACCCCAGCTCGTCTCTGGAAATGGGGGAGCCGGGTCTCCTGGGAGGCTGGGATCACTGACATGCCTGCGTCCCCAGGGGCATGGGTGTGCACAGCCACCTGGGCCTCTAACCACGGCTCCGTTCAGCTCTGGGGCTACACCACAAGGCTTGGAGTCACTGAGGATGGGTCCTCTCTCACCTCCAGCTGCAGGAACGGGGGCATCAGCAGACAGATGGCAGCCATGGTTACTAGTTTCCTGGCCTGGAACCAAGAACGTGACCTCCTAATAATATCCACCTCTCTGAAACTAAAATGCCAGATGTATGCAAAGCGCTTTGCCTAGTAAGTGCTGGAAACCCGTGTGTTCTGCCATCAGAGGAGACAGCAAGGGCGTAGCACCAGCTGACATCCTGTCATCGCACAGAGTTAAGTGTGTGTGTGTGTGTGTGTGGTTTTCTCCTTTTGAAGTGGCTCACAGACCTACCGTAGGAGCATGAAGAAGCCGACGGCAAGGCCGGCCACCACCAGCAGGACGGCAGGAAACACAGCCGCCAGGATCACGAGAATAAACAGCACCATGAAGAACTGCTGCAGGAAGTTCTCTGCATGGAACGGCAGCCTCACGTCCAGCTCGTCCATGTCTTTGGAAAAGCGGTTCATCAGCCTGCCGGTGGGAGTCGTGTCGAAGAAGCTCATTGGGCTCTTTAAGATCTGTGGACCAAAGCAGAGAGCCACGAAGGTCAAGGTCAGCAGTTAGTAAACCTGCGGCCGCCCAGCTGGGACTACAGTGGCAAGGGCAGGGCCTGACCTTGTTTCCTGGCAAAGTGAGGCTGCTCCCTACCCTTGTGGCCGTCGTGAATGGGGGTGAGTTGGGGGAGAGAGCTGGAGTGGACACGGAGGTCCACAGAGAGACCCCCTGCAAATCTCAGGTACAACCAGGATGGGAGAGGTGGGTGCCTTTGGAGGAGGGAGGGACTTGATGCCCCAGGGCCCTAAAAGGTCAAGCTCCCCTTTCTCCTGTCCCCAAAGTGCAAATACCACCCATGCACTTCGGCCAGGGCCCTCATAGCCAATGCCTGCCACGTAGCAGCGGTGGACGGAACTGGGGGCCAGGAGCAGAAGCACCTGCTGGGGTCCTTGTTGTACTCAGGGTTCCCTGGAGCAGATGACCTCTTGGCCTGCACATACCCCTACCCCAACCTCAGCCTAGCTTAAGGGCACGTGGGGTGCCCCTAATAGCCCTCCAGGTGCTAATGAGATAGTCTATAGGCTGTCACCTTGTCAAACACTCTGTCGTGCAGTGAGGAAGATGCCATCAGCGTGGTCTTGGTGAAGGTGAAGCCTTTGGCGATGCCGAAGGACAGCACGGCCCCCATGCTGGCCGCGTACACCCACTGGTACATGTGCTGCCCCATGTCTGCCAGGACCTCGCCCACCTCACACACGCTCTTGTTGCCCTGGGAGCCGCAGGTCACCTTGGGAGAAGAGCAAGGGAAACACCAAGAATGGGTGGGCTCTCAGGAGAAGGTGGGGGCAGTCCAGAGAGCAGAGACTCCAAACGAGGTGTTTGATGGCTCAGAATGGGCCATCGGGTGGGTAAAATCAAGCCAGGTCCCCTTTGGGACCTCTGGGCCATGCATGCTTCTCCCATGTAGGCAGCCACAAGCCCAAGGGGCACCTGATGTGCCCTTGGCACAGGCTCTGGGGAAAACAAAGCAGCTGAACAGGTGCACACGGGCAGTCACCCAGAAGCTACCTGCGCCCCATGGGACCGTAAGTGAGGCCGGGCCAAGGAGATCCAGAAGCGAGCAGCAAATCTGGAGTCCAACCCAAACAGGACAGCAGGAGCCACCCTGCAGCTCACCACACTGCCTGCCAGCCCCACCAGGGGGCCCCTCAGTCCTTGCCCTGTCCCCTTCCCAAAGGCCAACTGGGAGGGCGCGAGGAGGTGGGAGGAGGGGACATGGCCCTGGGTCTCTGATGAGGGGAGGGGCCTGGTGAATAGGAGGGGCTCAAAGCGCTGCTCCGCCCTGGCCGGCACACACCATGTCGCCAGCGTCTCTAAAGGCACATCCCACCTTCTCCTCCTCCTCCTGAGAAACTGGCAGGTTCCTATTCCTCCGGGCCCTGAGCTGAAAGTCAACACTGCCTTTGGGGACCAAACAAGCGTCTTTCTTCCAAATGCCATTTTGCTGATGACAGTAATAGCGGAAATGTAAACCAGAGGCGGCTGACGGCTGAGCCGCCAAGAAACAAACAGATGCACCCCTGGGGATGCCCTGATGAAAGGCCCAGTGGAAACGGCAATCTTCCAGGGCCTTCTGCCTGCCACTGCTGCTTCCTGCCCAGCGGCCTGCTGGGGAGGCTCCAAGCCCGGGAGTGGACCCCGCCGTGACCTGCACCTCAGACTCCCCAGGGGAGGGGCTCATCCGGAGCGAGTGGGTTTGGGGAGAATCTGGAGATCCTGGTGATGGTCTGTCCAGGTCATGCTGCCCACTGGCCTACTCCTGCCCAAGCCCCAACCTTGCCTGCCTTCGGTTGTCATGGCAACAGAGGTAAACAACAATGTGACCACGAAGGATGGGCTGGCACCACCCCCAGCATTCCTGGGGGTCCCCGAAAAGCTCTGGAATCATTGGCCAAAATCTGGAAGAGCTCCCAGCCAGCTTGAGGGAGAACGACCTTTTGGAGGTAAGGAGGAGCTAAGGAGGCAGGAAAGGGCTCCTGGTGGCCCTGGAGCATCTGCGGGCACTGAGTGTGACTGCACATCCCATTCCTGCAGAGGTCAACCCCGGGGGACAGAGACCTGTGGAACTCTCCGGCACTAGATGGTGCTGGGGACAAGTTGCCAGTTTCTCTTCAGTGGGGGGAAGGCAGACATCTGGGTGAGATTTTCGTAGCCTCCCCTGGTCATTCCTCAGAGGATGCTAAGACCCCTGGCTACAAAAGGGACCCTGTGTGTCCTGCCCTGCTCGCCCCCACCCACGTCATCTGGGATGGGCGCCTCTCTGACAGCCCTTTGACATCTGCTGCAGGGGGCGCCGGAGAATGCAGAGACACTGCTGGTCTCGGGGCATTGGAGGGGATTTCAGGTGGGGTAAGCACCTGCCCTTGAAGTCTTGTGGGCAGAGGCAAATGAGTGACCTCGGTAGGCAACCTTTGCACCCCGAGACACAACCTCAGCGTTTTCCAGTGCCGGGGCAAACTCACCTGGGAGCCTTTGTCTAACCAGAAACCCAGCCACCAGTTGCTGAAGGCAGAGCTGCCGATCATGAGGAGGAAGAGAGACACCGCGAAGAGAGAGAGCAGGTACCCTGCAAGGGGGGGGGGGGGGGCCGGGGGTCACTGACACCACAGGGGCAGCCGTGGCCTGGCCTTCCTTGGGACCCAACCCTCATGGGAAAGTCAAGGCCTGTAGAAAAGGGCCCTCATCCCTGGGGACCCCCCCTCTAAGAAGGCTGAAACAGCACAACTGGGTGTCGTACCCCTGCACCCCAACAAGGATGTCTGTTCTGTCTGGTTGGAAAATGGGCCCAAATTGCCATCCCATTGGCAAACCACCAATGTGCACTTTAACAGGAGCAACTCAGTACTCTTGAAAAACAGACAAGTAGGGACTGGTGTTATGTGCAGTGGGTTAAGCCTGCAGTGCCGGCATCCCATATGGGCACCGGTTTAAGACCCAGCTGCTCCACTTCCAATTCAGCTCCCTGCTAATGGACTGGGAAAAGCAGTGGAAGACAGCCCAAGTGCTTGGGTCCCTGCACCCACATGGGAGACACAGAGGCAGTTCCAAGCTCCTGGCCTAGCCCCAGACATTGTGGCCATTTGGGGAGCAAACCAGTAGATGGAAGATGTGTGTGTGTGTGTGTTTGTGTGTCTCCCTCTTTCTATGTCACTCTGCCTTTCAAATAAATAAATGCATTTTTTAAAAAGGAATCAAGATGAAATAAAAATCAAGCATTTCATTTTTTTAAAAAAATCAATAAAGGGGCAGGTGCTGTGGCACAGTGGACTAAGCCTCTGCCTGCAGTGCCAGCATCCCATATATGCTTTGGTTTGTGTCCCGGCTGCTCCACTTCTGATCCAGCTTTCTACTATGGCCTGGGAAAGCAGAGGAAGATGGTCCAATGATTGGGCCTCTGTACCTGTGTGGGAGACCCAGAAGAAGCTCCTGGCTCCTGGCTTCTGATTGGCCCAGATCTGGCCATTGGAGCCATAGGAGGTATGAACCAGTGGGTAGAAGACCTCTCTTTCTGTCTCCCTCTCTCTGTCTGTAACTCTACCTCTCAAATAAATAAATAAATAATATTTTAAAAAAGCAATAAAAATGCAGTCTTGTGGAGGAGAGACTGGGAACAAAACCATTGATGTGCTTTGCACACCAAGACAGGAATCTTGTGTGAAAAGCAGGGCAGGAGCCGAGTGCCCCCGCGGGCAGTGATGAGAGGGAAAGGGTTCAGAAGAGCCAGCGCTGGTTCGTGCTGCTGCCCGCCCGGCCACCTGGCTGCAGGAAGAGAGAGTATGGCGGCTTTAATAGAGATGAAGAATGATCCTACTTAAAAGGCCCTATTATCAGGCTCTAGTGTTTAAGAGGAGAAAAAATAAAAGCCTTGATAAATAGTCCAAGCCCTTGTAATTTTTTCAAGAATTTGTAAAATGTGAACCCAGCAGTTTAAGAGGGGAATACATGCAAATTGGATGCGGAACCTCCAGAAGCCTTAACGTATGTGTGGTACGTTCTCCAGGTCACCGTGCCTTCCCGGGGGGATTCCGTCTGGACCAGCTGGTGTGCAGGCACTGAGGAGGCAAGCACAGTCCCGGGTGGGCTCCCTTCCAAACACCCCACCCCTCCCGGGCCCCAGCCTCCCCCGAGCCCCACACTTTCCCACTTCCGGCACACCTGTGCTCACTGCGGCATACTTGAGCTCTGTGAAGTAGGCTTTTGGTCTTTTGAGACAACACCTACTATGTGCTCAACCCTGGGGATCCTGGGGTTATCTTGAGCTGTGTCTCCCCAAACCAAGCAGAGGATGTGAGTACCGGGACAATTGGCTCTGCAGGGTCTGCACTGAAGTCAAATAGCCATGGATTAAAAACACCTGGGAATGGGGCTACTGGGGTTCAGCCAGTGATGTGGCCGCTTTCAATTCGGGCATCCCCTGTGAGCACGGGTTTTGAGTCCTGGCCGCTCCACTTCCGGTCCAGCTCCCTGCTAAGGCTCCTGGGAAGCAACGGAAGTTGGTCCAAGTTCATGCACCCTGCCACGTATGTGGGAGCCCCAGATGGAGTTCCAGGCCTGGTCCAGCCCCAGCCATTGTGGTCATTTAGAGAGTGACCAGCACATGGAAGATTTCTCTCTCTCTCTCTCTCTCTCCTCTCTCTCTCTGCCTTTCAAATAAATAAATCCTTTTAAAAAGAATGGTGGAGGGTAAGGAAGGCAAGGCCACATCAAAAGGAGTTATCATCAAGCCAGCAACACTTGTGGACAGCCAGAGCTCAATCCGATAGCAGAGACATCTGAGAGGCAGCATAGACACACAGAACGTGACGGCAGGGCACCTCTGGCCAGTGAGTGAGGCTGCTCCCTGGGAGGGTCAGCTCCCAGCGCCTGCAGCTGGACTCATACTGGCAGCTCTCAGGGGGAGCCCCCTGGGGGAGGCAGTGGTTGGGAGAGGGGCTGGATGCCCGACTGAAGTGGCAGGGTGCCCGCCACGTGTCCCTACAGCCGTGCGTGAAGGAGGCCCTGCCTGCCTCCCCAAGATCACCCCCCGGCAGCAGACAAACCGTGAGCTCCTGAGGCCCTCCAGGCGGCAGCCTCAAGTCCTCGCCTGCACTGCCCAAGGGGAAGGGAAATGCCTGTCAAGTTCTCGTGAAACAGCGTTTCAGAGGCACGGCGATGCCGCCTCCACATGCACGGCTCTCCCTCCTCTCCTCCACGGAAGGGCACGGAATGTCAGCTCCCAAGCAGAACCATGACTCAAGCTTGGCTTTTATACACAGAGCTAAAGAGCGCTGGACACAGCTCTCTGCCCCCAACCCGACCAGAAGAGCTTCCATACAGCAGAGGGAACCTGCCCGGGAGAGACCTGCCCGGGAAACCAGCGCCCCCTGGAAAGGCTCCCACTCCAGGGCTGGAACACGAGGGTGAGGCCTCGGCGTGTGGGCACCCTGTAGAGCGCTCCAGGGACTGGGCACACCCTGGAGCCTCCCCGAGGAGACACCCCATCGCCTGCCCTTGCCAAACGCCGGGGCAGCCTGTAACTGGCTCACGGCATCGTCTCCTCCTGCAGCTGTCAGAGCACAGAACCGCCCGACTGTTTATCCTCTAAGGCAAAATTGTACCAGCGCCATCTTCCTCTCCAGAAGAGGGGGAGTGGTGAGAACTCACAAAGAACAGGGCTCACTCTCTCCACTGGACCCTAAATCCTTTCTCCCCCGAGGTGCGAGGGGATGTCCCTGCACGTCAGTTCTGCTGGGAAGTCCCCCGAGCGGCGCTGTGGATGCTGTCTTTCAGATGCACCTGCGTTGGTCGTAAGCACCATGGAAGGTGGCAGAGAGCACTGATGCACGCATGCTTGTTTTTAAGTTCACATTTTCACATCTCTGAGATCTGGATGTGCCTTCCACCCAACAGGCATTTAATTGCAGGAGATTTTTTTTTTCCCTTTCTAAATGGCACATAAAATGATCGTGGTCTTATCAGGCAGACAGCATCTTAAATTTGACTGAATGGATTAAGTTTTGTGGGTCTTTTTAGCTACACGTTACTGAGGAACTGAGCCTCAATGCAGAAAGCGCTTTGAGGGATGTTGATCCTGCTGTCGCCGCGTCAGGCCCAGGGAACGGAGTGGGTGGTGACGGACTACGGGCAGGTGGAGGGGTGAAGGCAGCATGTCTACAGAGGTGAAGAGGAGGCTTCAGCTGCCTGGCCCTGGCCAAGCTCGTCTCTCCTCTGCCTTCCCAGAATGTCCTCATGCCCCCAGCCTCAAACCCTCCACCTTCCCCTACCTTCCTACCCACAGTGTGCCCCAGCAAACCCCTGCACAACCCTGAAGGACCCAACCCAAAGACCACCCCCTCTGTGAAGCCCTCCTGGATTTGTCTCTTACTCTCACTCCAATCCCCTGACTCCCACCATAGTGTCCCACAGTCATCCATTTGCCTGTGACCCCCACCAGACCGTGAGACCCTGAGGATGTGGGCATCCCCTCTCCCTACCCGGCCTCACTGAGGACCAGGCAAACAGCACAGGACTTGGTCCTTATTTGCTGTGAGACTGAATCACCTTGTGCCACCTGGATTCCCTCACTGCTTCCCCGTCCTCTCTCAGTGCTCCCCATGGAGGGTGGGACACCGTCCCTGTGCTGGACTCGCCTCTCCTCGGATGAGTCCCCGGGCATTGCTCGATCTCTGCTACTACCAGTAGTAACTACTGATCCCTACTACTAGTAGTAGTAATTAATGACCCCCTCCTACTAGTGGTAGTAACTACTGATCCCTAGTACTACTAGTAGTTACTGCTGACCCCCTCCTCCTACTAGTAGTAATTACTGCTCCCTCCCACTACTAGTAGTAGCTATTGATCCCTCCTACTACTAGTAGCAACTGTTGACCTCCTACTACTAGTAGTAACTGTTGACCCCTCCTACTACTAGTAGTAACTATTGATCACTCCTGATAGTAGTAGTAACTAATGACCCCTACTAGTAATAGTAATTATTATTCCCTCCTACTACTAGTAGTAACTACTGGCCCCCTACCACTACTAATAGTAACTACTGATCCATACTACTAGTAGTAGTAGCTATTTCTCCTTCCTAGTACTAGTAGCAACTATTACTCCCTTCTACTACTAGAAGTAACTATTGATCCCTCCTGATAGTAGTAGTAACTACTGAACCCTCCTACTACTAGTAGTAACTATTGCTCCCTCCTAGTACTAGCAGTAACTATTGACCTTCCTACTACTAGTAGTAACTATGGGGTGGTAGTTGCCAGGACAGTTATGAGTATGACTGTTGATGGTCCCTGCGCCACAGTGCTCAGCACTTCGTCTACAGTGTCTCATTTAATCTAAGAACTTCTGTGGCTGGTGCTAGCACCTCCCCATTTTACGAATTAGGACAGCAAGGTTCAGAGCCGTTATGGAGCTCGCTCAAGGTCACAGAGCCAGGAAGTGGTAAAGCCGAAGTTTGGCCTCAGGCAAGTGAACCCCAAGGCTCACACGTGCGATCCCAGCTGCCCAGAATGACAATTCCACCGAACGGAAGTAAGAGACACTTGGTGTGCCTGCACTTTTCTGTCCCACACAGGAGATGCCTAATGCATTCCAAACAGCACCTATGGCGGAGAACGCAGGGTAGGTACCTTTCACGTCGACAAATTCCGGGGCTGTTTCAGATTCTCTCCCTTCATCTTTCTCCTCTCCTGGAGCCAACACTAGGGTGAGAAATACAGAAAGCTCTGTGCCCAGGCAGGCGCCCGGGGCAGCAGGGGACTGGGGCTCTCGCTCCGCTTGTACCAGTCTCCTGGCTCCTCTCTGCGGGGCTCTCCTTGAGGGCTTCCAACATGGCTGCGTTGTAGATGTGTTCGGGGTCCTGGAGACAGAAGGGGCTAGATGACAGCCTCTCTCCCCAGCCAGGCTGGAGGGACTGCAGCAAGGGCGGCCACCGTCTTCCCCCGACCCAGGTGCATCTGTGCTACCTTAAACTGTAAGCCTCGAAGGTTGTGGACGAGCTTGGCATAGCACCCTCGCTCCTCCATCAGCTCCTTGTGGGTGCCCTTCTCACAGATCTCTCCGTCTTCCAGCAAAATGACCTCATCACAAGACTCCAAGAACTGCAGGGGCAGGGAAGGGATCCACGGTGAGCACCGGCGTTGGTGAGAGAGGGCGGCGCCTGCACCCAACTCTTACACAGCGGCGCCCAGGGCTCATCCTGTCCAGGGGCTCTCACCACCCATGTGGGAACCCCGATGACTCTCAGGGTGCCTTGTGTATCAGGCAGCCTCCCTGGTCTCCACCCACCAGATGCCAGCCGCACCCCTCCCCCAGCTGTGACAAGCAGAAAATGACCCCGGACACTGCCAAATGACCCCCACCGGGGGGACCACCGATCTAGCACCCAGGAGTAGGAAAGCCAGGCTCTGGCATTAGCAGTGAAACACACAGATTCTTCCTTTGTTTCGGCTGCTCCCCAGTGAGATCTGAACGTGGAAAATGGACGTGGTGTTTGTTGCAGCCAGGAGTGGGTGGAGAGGGGACATGGGATCTCCACGCTGGCCCTCCTCTTCCCAGGGCCACCTCCCCATCCCCTAGGAGAGGCTGTGCCCTAAAATCGGAGCTACCACTAATGCTGGCATCCCATGCTTTTTGCCCAGAGCACCTCTGCTTTTCTCATTTGAATTCGCTTCATTTCCATATCACTCCTGTGATCAAAGAGTTCTGCTAAGAGGGGTTTTCCTTTCATTCTGGAAGGCAACAGGAGAGCTGTCCCTGTGGGGTCAACCCCTGGGAGGGCAGGAAGCCCCCTCCTGCAGGCGGGCAAGACGCTGATGCCACCTTTAGGAGGCCTTCGCAGGGCAGGGCCAGAGGTCTCCCCTTGGACTGCAGCATCCATCAAGGTCAAGTCAACCTTGGGCGCTCTTGATTAAAAACCTGAAAGACAGAGCTATGTTGGGTTATTAGACACCTGACAGGGGTGCAGTCTGACATCCCGGACAGCTCCAGCCTTGCCGCCTCCCTCAGGCTGACCACCCAGCCCCCTGCCCACTTGCCCCGCAAGCAGGAGCATGCTGGCTCTCCACGTCCAGTTGAGTCACTTGCGGACGGAGCCTTCTTCCAGAAAAAGGCGGACCTCTCGCCTTTGCATGGCGTCTTCTGCCTTCCTGCAGCCTGCTCTGCTCTCCCGATCTCCCCCGACCCCAGCATTTCAAGCAGCAGGTGACTTGATCAGCAGCTGATTATCCCGGGGGAGGGGGGGAGCTGGAGGACTGAGGCCTGTTACAGCCCCACATCCTTCTCTGGCTGTGCTGGGGCACGCACCCCAGGCCCTGCAGCTCCTGACAAGGTGAAAGTCTCTCTGGCCAGCCAGCCCCAGGTTCACTCCAGCAAGACCAGGGGGATTAGAGCAGCTTTGCTCTCAAACTCAGGAATCCGACCCCGGGTTCGGTACCCATGGCTTCCCGCAGGCCTCATTCCATTGATTTCCTCACATCGGGAAGCGCCCTTGGCCGGCCCAAGCACTCCAGAATCAAACCAGCAGGGACATGCTCTGGAAAAGCCTGGGGGCTCCGGTTCTGGCCCAAGTCCCCTCCTCCTCAGCATCAGGGGCCAGACCCAGGTTCTGGTGCCACCTGGTGGCTGCCTGCCTCCTCCGCCAGGTAAAGCATGAAGTTAAAATGACCTTGGGGAAGGCAGACCTGGAGGAGGCTGTGGCCTGGGGTGACCCTTCCTGCCTCGGCCCCATCGCTGCTTAGTGAGTCTCAGTGATGGACCAGCACTGACGTTGTGACGCCCCTTCCATGGGGACTCCCAGAGAGGCAGTTCTGACCCACAGGGGCACAAGCCCAGGAGGGCTCCCTAGGTCCACAGGACCCCTCAGGAGGACAGACCTCCCCTTTCCCACGACAGACTGTCTGCAGAAGGTGGTGGCCACAGTTACAAGCCTGGCTGGGCCAGAGCCATTCCCAGTCCACCAGCTGTCCCCTCCACCCTGACCCAGGGGCCAGCAGAGGAACTGGGAGCTCTCATCCACACTGGTCCAGCCTCCTGCAGGGGTGGAGCCCACTCAGAGGAAACCCAGCCTCCATGCACAAAACACAAATGTCGCGAGCTTACTCTGGGGTGAGAACCAAGCCCTGGACAAAAGTGGGCTCGGGTTCAGGTAGGAGCTCAGCGATGGGAACACCTGGTTCCCTGGAAAAGATCCTAAAGCAGGCTGCAGCGTCCTGTAGCCATGGCAACCTCCTGGCTTCTGTTCCCCTCCCCCCCTCAAGGCAATGAGCCCTTGTTGAAGTTGCTCCCTGTGGGTAGCAGGAGAGCAGAGAAGCCAGGACTCTGCCCCCTGCCCCGACAGGCCCCTCAGTGTAGGACAGCTCCAGGGACCGTCTCCTCTCACAGGGACCACACATGCACCTGCTCGTACACACAGCGGGGGACTCGCTGTGCAGAGAGGAGAGGGAGACAGTCGAGGCAGGGGGATACCTGGCTTGAGGCAGAGTAGAGAGGAGCCTTGGGGGACCGACACGGGGATGACTGGCCCCATCCTGCCACACACTCAGGCTCACTCAGGGACAGCCAATGGAGTGGCTCTGGGCAGGGAGAAGCTCCCGGAAGCCTTAGCATTAGCCCCAAACTCCAAGCCTCCAGCTCTTTCCCTGGGGGTGATGCCGTCCACCCAGGCAAGGCACCCCTGGCCTCAGGCCTGCCCGGCCCTGGCTGGAGGAAGTGTGGGGGATGTCTGCTTCCTCTGGCTCCCTGTCTACTCCTCACTGGGGGCCCAGAGCTGAAGGAGTCCCCAAGTCCACCCCACAGGCTGCAGTCCAAGGGAGGAAAGGCCTTGTCCACGGAGCCCAAAGATGTGGCCAATAGAGGCCATGCTGAGCCAGGAGCAGGCAGGGCCATATGCAAGCCAGGATGGCTGTAGAAGGTTGGGAGGGTTGAGGGGGAGTCATGGGTCCTTCCTGCGTCCGCAGCTCCCTCCTGCCCTGCCCTGGATGAGAAAAGAGGACACTCCCCGAGCACCAGGAACCCTCCAGTGCTGTGACCCCACGGACCCTGCGTGTCCCGGTCACCTGCAGCTGGTGGGTCACCAGGACAACCGTCCTCCCCCTGAGCGTCTTCCTGATGCACTCCTGGAAGACATGCCTGCCCACGTGGGCGTCCACAGCTGACAGGGGGTCATCCAGCAGGTAGAGCTGACGGTTGGAGTAGACGGCGCGCGCCAGGCTGATCCTCTGCCTCTGCCCCCCAGAGAGGTTGAGGCCGCGCTCCCCGATCTGTGGACAGGGACAATGCCTCCTGCGGTCAAGGGGCCCAGAGGCCACCATGCAGCTCTCGGAGAATGGGAGCTTCCGGCAGCTCTCTGGGGTCCAAGTTCCTCCAGCCCTCACAGGGCCATGTGGCACACTGCACAGTGGCGAGCAGGAGGCTCTGCTTCCCCCACCTCTCTGAAGCCTGGTGGGCTGTGGCAACCAGGGAAAGCTCTTCTGATGCTGCTCCGTGGGTGCCTGACTCCTGAGACAGCCCCCCTCCCCCCAATCAGGACCATCAGCCCTACAAGGAAGTATTTGAGCTGAAAGCTCTGAGAAAAAGGTGCAATGGGCAGCCGGGAGAGGTGGCTGAGAACAGATGGACGAGGGAACCTGCTGCTGCTTCCTCGTGGAGCGCTGATGCCCAGTGAGTGACACTAAGCTTTGCCCAGCGAGGACCACAGTCTCTATGCCCATCCTCACTTCCCTAAGGCCTGGCTCTGTGCCAGCCAGACGAGGCGCTCAGGAAATCTTTCTTGAAAGGGTGGGCCAAACACAAGCAGGCTTGGTGCCATTCCTCCTGATGTCCACCAAGGTCAGGCCCCGATGGAGAATTCAGGATGGGTAGGAGTGCAACTTTGCCTGCATCTGCTGGGCCCTTTCTATCCTCTGGGACCCCTGAGGGTGGAGCAGGTGCCTGCTGGCTGCTTTGGACCTGGGCGAAGCAGCTGCAGTAGGGCGGAGCTCCCAGCCGGCTCACCTCCGTCAGGTCTCCGTAAGGGAGGCTGCTCAAGTCCTTTTGAAGGCCACAGACACGAACTGTGTGCTGATACCTGTGGGCACAAAGGCCACAAGTCAGCAGGGTGAGAAAGCCCCCATCACCACTGCCCCGGGGCTGCCCTGAGCTGCCCCAAAGGCACCGCTGGTGCCCTGGGGCAAGGGAAGCAGGCAGCAAGGTCTGGGTTTGCAGCTCCCTAGCCGGCTGCTCTGTCCTTGATGTCCCCTTCATCCTGGAGTCTGTGCTGGACCCAGTGCAGAGCTGGCTCAGGGCCGGCCACTCCTCTGGTGGGGTTCCTACCACCCAGGGAAGATGACGTCAACCCACCTGAACCCCCCCAAAGGGGACTCCGAGAGCTCAGATTGCTGGCACTGTCTGTAGAAGTCAGAGAAGGGGGCCACCCCTGAGGGCTGAGGTCCCTGGAGACAGCCTCCCAGAGGCTAGGGCTACAGCAGCTAGGCTCTGATTGAAGAGCAAGCATGTGTGGCTGGAGGCGAATGGCCCAGGGCTGGGGAGATTACAAACGGCTCCCCGACATCTGCCAAGCACCAGAAGTCCAGAAGGCTACTCCATCCACACATCACTCCCACCAGATTGGAGCAAAGGAGTCTCCCCCAGCTCCGGGGGAAAACGAAGATGCCCAGAGAACGCCTTCAGCAGGGGAGGCCGAGTGGGAGCAGGATCTTCACTCCTGGACCACTCAGCCTCTCTGATATGCTCTGCCCCCAACCCCAGCCCTCCAGCCAGCCCCAGGGTACACTGGCTCCTGCTCCAGCTGCCCGGTGTGCCCGGTGGCAGTGCAGGTGTGTGCCCTACCCAAGCAGCTGTGGGGCCCCCCATTTCTAGCAAGCCTGATGCTCGATGAGCTGCCTGCCTCCGTGGAGACTGAATGGTCGGTTGGTTGCTATCAGGAGCCTCTTTCCGCAATGCTTGACAAGTCATACTTTGCAAAACACACCTTCCCAGTAAAGGGGTAGCAGCAAGGGAGAGGGCAGTGAGGCCGTGAGCAGCTGCCCTGTGGGTGCTGCAGGCTCCTGGCAGCTCTTGACGGCCCCTGGAACACAACCTGGGCATAGCTCGGGCCCAAGCTCAGGACTGCAGCACACAGTGATTGAGACCAGGGGCCTTGGCATCAGAACAACATGGCTTTGACTCCAGCCGGGTGACCTTGGACAGGCGTCTCCTTGATCCTCACTCTCCAGGTCATAACACTGGACTGATAACTCGCACTGGGTTGTAGCAAGAATGAAGCAGGAATACACACAGAGAGGCATGAGCACAGTGTCTGGTGTATCACAAAATCTCCATCGACGGGAGTTACCAGTAGTAGCATTACCTCGGACAGTCTTCAACGGCAAGACTCAGGCTGCTAACGGCAAGACTCGGGGTGCTCAGCACCTCTTCCTCTCCTTGCCATCCCCTCAATGTAAGTTCTCTCCCACACTCCTGCTCCTGTGGCCCTGCGAGCCAGTTTCATCCTAGGAGCAAAGCCTCTGCTAAGGATGCCACATGTGAAGGGTGCTTGGTCCATCCTCTTCCCGATCCCTCGTCCTCTTATGATCTCAGTGGCCGCTTTGCAATCCACACAGGCTCCTGTCACCTGGGGCGTTCCTCTTTCCTGCGCTGTTATTTCAATACATCTCTCACAGCCTCTTCCAGGCTTGAGCACTTGGAGGGCTAAGATACATCTGTCCACCATGGTGCCTTGCATATTGTAGCCATTTGGAAAATCGAGGATATTTAAAAAGTCCGTGGAAAAGTGAAATGAAATGCCCCGTATGTTGGTGCAAAAAAACCTTGTTAAAATCCTTGCAAATACATATTATAAAAATATGCATAGATTTCCAAAAATTTACACTCAAATGAATATCTTTGAATTCCATGTTCCACAAGTTTTTGAAGTGCCTTTGTGTTTGCCTCCTGAACATCGTTAATAAGTAAAGACCCCTCCTCCCAGCCTGCTTCTGCAGAGAGAAGGGAATCCAGGTGGCAGGTGGAAGAGGCACAGGCACCTGGGGCCAGGAGACGCTGAGCCAAGGAGGTGGCTGGTGCCAAGGACTCCTGCCCTGAACAGACCTGCCTGCCACCCCTGAGCCTCCTGGTGATGGGATGTCACGGCCAAGGAAGAGGAGGTGACCTCTTGCCAGGAACCCACATGCTGGACAACGCCAGCCAGCAGGACAGAGCTGGCGGGTTCAGATAACATGATGAGAGAGTCCAAGCCACTGCTAGAGAGTCGGCAGCAGGTTTCCTCGGATGAGCTCTGTTTCTCTCAGTGCTGCCTGGCCAGGGTTCTGGTTGAACCGCAGTCAGCTGCTCCAATGGGAACAGACGGAGCTGGGCTGGAGTTCCAGATGGAAATCCGAGACCCCAGCCTGCCACTTACTAACTTTGACCTTGGCTGAGTCCACTCCCTTTGGTGAGCCTGAACTTCTCCACCTATAAAATGGAAATGGAATGCCAGGACCTCTCGGAAAAAGGTGCTTACGGAATTCAAATGAGAAGCTGTGCATAACCACACATCAAGCTCAGCAAAGAACCTGAGGATGTTATCTTCCCGGGGCTTAAAGTTCTATTCAAATCAAAGCACTCAGAGCGTATCCCAATCATCAGGGCTGGACCCCTGCTTTGTTTCTATTGCACCATTTTGAGGACACCCACAGCACTGACGTCAATCAGTAATGCCAGGGCTGATCCGTGGCATATTTGCTTCTCGCGACTTCAAGCACAATTTTGGTTACTCAGCCGAAAGCCATGCTGCCAGATTCATTTTTCCCCTAGGCAGACAACATATGCCCTGTTCCTGAGAACCTCAGAGCATATGGTACCCGGCCCAGGGACTGGAGGTTGCAGTCTCTTCTCAGAGTGCGGTGACAGGTCTGCAGCAGGTGCCTCTCCTGAACTCTTGGGTCAGGAGAGAGAACAACCGATGCCCACATGGTCTCACGAAGTTCCCATCGGAACTCCTTACAGAAAGTCACTCAGCCCCAGTCTCAGAGCCTACCAAATGCAAACACGCCAAAAGCCTTAAAGGTTAACGTTACCTTTGTGAATCGTACTTTTCTCCAAATAGTATGTTCTCTCTCACACTCCCATGAAAGATCCAGGCCTGCTGCGAAACATAGGCCAAAGTTCCATTGACAGCCACAATCCCTTTCTGTAGCTGCATCTGGAAAGACAGGACCGTGGGACCTCCAGAAGCCAGACCCCAGGGCTTCCCCACGAGTGCCCTCGGCGTCCCGCCACCCACAGGCGCCGGTTATGATGTGCAGGAGGGTCAACAAGATGTCCTGTCCACACACACTGCATAGCCCCACCATTAGCTCAGAGGGGCCCAAAGCCAGACCCCTAAGAGGCCAGGAAGGGAACTCTAGGGAGGAGGCAGAGGTGACTGGAGGGCCCCCTGCTCTAGCATGCCAGCGACAACAGGATGCTCTCCGAGAAGCTGATGGCAAGGGCCTCCCCTTCTTCCGGATGCACTGGCTGGATCGGAGCGTTCTCAGCCAGATGCTGTGAGGCTGAGCACAGCCTGCAGCGCTGTGACTGGTGGCCCTGGCATGCCTCATCTTCAGGAAACAGCCCTGAGTCAGTGACACAGTTGGTGCCTTGCAAAGATGAGGGCCCGGCATGGCCACAGTTCCTAACTGCTCAAGAAGAGACAAAAATGCAACTATTGGACTTTTCAAGCGCTGAGCAAGCTGAATAAAAAAAAAACATGCCTGGGGGCTGGCGTTGTGGCACTGTGGGTTAAACCACTGCTTGCAACACCAGCAATCCCATATTGGAGTGCCTAGATGCTCTGCCTCTGATCCAGCTCCCTGCAAATGCGCATGGGAAAGCAGCAGAGGATGGCCCAAGTGCTTGAGCCCCTGCCATCCATACGGGAAACTTGGATGGAGTCCTGGGCTCCTGGCTTTGGTCTGGCCCAGCTCTGGCTGCTGCAGCCATTTGGGGATGGAAGATCTCCCTCCCTCTCTCTATCTGTCCCCTTCCCTGTCTGTCTCTCTACCTTTCAAATAAATAAATCTTTTTTCATAAATGCATGGGCTTCAGTTTGTGGCCCTAAGTACCCAGATCATTGAAGAGCACCCTACACGGTGGTCATTGGATAGACAGCAGTGGATGCTGACGGGGTGCAACGTCTGAAGCTTCCCAGAGCAGGCAGCCGCAGTACAGGCCGTGGAGATTAGGGCTGCTGCTCAAGGGGCAGGAGGGCGGCCACGGTGTGAAAGGATGCACTTCCATTTCACCCCAGGAGTGGCCCGAGTGACAGAGACTCCTGGACTTGGAGAGGAGACAGTGACATTAACAAAAGCACCAGCAGTGTGCAGGGCACAGCCCAGGCGCTGCATAGAGGCAGGTAAGGTGCTCGCCACCAGGACTGGCACTGGGAGGTCTGTAACCAACTATTCCATGCCGGGTCTCCTGTAGCGCTCGCCCGGGGAGAGCGAGGAACCTGGGCTCTCGTGCCTTCCATGCAACCTGGAGCTGGGTTACCCCAGGAGAAACAGCCTGTTGTCAGTATCCACAGGCCTCCAGGTTCTCATGGGTTCTAAGTCGCATCCTCAATGGAAGAGAAATTTTCTGGGGAAAATAATTACTCAGTTTTCCTTTTCCTCACTCTACCACTGCTATGGAGCAGATTGGGACGCTGAGAATGACAAAGGCAGGAAGAGGCTGGGTGCTTCCAAAGAAATGGGGGTGCCAGGCTCAGCAGAGCTCCCCAAGGACAAATGACTTGTTTTGAGGTTGCTAGACTCATCTGTAGAAAGAAAGAATGCCTTCCCGCTTGGCGGGGGCCGGGGATGCGCCCCCACCTCGGGGCCTCAGCGTGTGCCTCTGTGATGATCCTGGGGTCAGCAGGCTCATTAGCGCTGAGCCAGCCCAGCCTCCCCACCCCACAGCAAGATTCTCCTTGATAGCGTAGGTGGTGGTCCAACCCGCACCTGTGCCTCCAGTGATGCCACCTCATTATTTCATGTTTTTATTATCTCATTATTTCATAGCCAGTTCCCTCTTTGGAGAGTTTTGACGTACCTCGGGATGCAATTTACCTCTCTTTAACTTGTATCCTTCGGAGCTTCTCACAGAAGACAGAACCTATCTGCTCCGAGACTATGGTAACACAGAGGATAAGCCAGGGGCCCCCGCCTGCCTGGGTTCATTCACCACCTGTCTCTGCCACGTGCACACTGCCTAACTTCCCTTCTCTGAACCTTAGCTATGAGATGAGGTTTCCCACTGGCTGCCGTCTCAGAGGGGCTCCGAGCTGCCAAGTTCATTAACTTCCCCACAAGGTGCCATCGTTAACAATGTGCCCAGTGCCCAGTGCCCAGTGCAGCCATCCCAAGCACCAGGTCCATGGTGCTAACAGGCTCCAATGGCTGCAGGAAGGCACCGGTGTGGTCTTGGTGTTAGTGTTGCATCTTCACAGTGGTCACCACGAGGCTTACCTGTCCTAGGAGGGCTGCAATGAGGGAGCTCTTCCCACTGCCCACATTCCCGCATATTCCCAAGACCTGCCCCTGGCAGAGAGGGAGATAAGACACAGTCACTGTCTGAGTTGTTTTCAGGGTCTGGGGCCAGAGGTATTGCCCCCAAACTCTGCTGGCCAGGCCGGGTAAGGCCCTAAGTGTCACTGCTGGCTTGGTTCAACGGGGTGGCAGCTGCAGCCTCCCGCTCCAGCCCCCACGCACGTGGCCCAGGAGCATCTAGGAATGTAAGCCTTAATTAAGTGCTCTCCTAGCACAGCATGGCAGAGCACCCAGAGGGCTTCTAGAAATCATGTACAAGCACCGATGTGAAACAGCCTTGTGCCGGTCTGGGAGTCACAGGCCTTGGGTAGACAGCTTGTCCCGCACCGGGCCTCCAGGACAGCAAAGCTAATGGAAGGTAAAGGCTGTGCAGCCCGGGGGGACAGGGGTGGCCTTGGAGCACTTTTTCAAAGTCATTTTTTCCTATACCACTGCACTATAACATCTCGTTAAAATATCGAGCAGTTGCATTATTTCGGCGAGTTGGCTTCATGGATTATTCTACAGCTGCAGATTTTTTGGTTCCTCGATCAAATGGTTACCAGTATCTGCTATGCGGCAGGGACTGTTGTTCAAGAAGTTGGGGGGGGGAGGTAAAAAAAATCAAATGAAAAGATAAGTTTACATTTGATGCAAAATAGTTTGAATTCTGCACATAGTTTTCCATAATATGCACCTTCCGTGACCTTTTTGAAAAGTCCTCAGACAGCAAAGAACGTAGCAGAGGAAGTGCATTTGCTGTAGCCCCGTGGGCTTACGTTTCAGCTGGGGGAGATGGACAAATGCAAATAACAGAGGGAGGATGCCAGAGACACGCCAGGGAGCAGAGCCAGGCGGGGAAGAGAGCGGGTGGATGGCAGGGGGCAAAGAAGGCCTTCCTGGGAAAGCAGAGGTCTTAACTTGAGTTCTTCCAGAAACAGACCCGGAATCAGGGGCTCGAGTGAACGTAGCTTGTTTGGGAGGTGCAGGAAACACCTGCGAGGAAGGGAGGCCGTGAAGCAGGAACGGCGAGGTGGCCACCGAGGGGGTGCTACTGGGTCAGCTCCCACAGGAGGCAAACACAGCTCAGGGCTGCAGGGAAGTGCAAGGGAATCTGGGAAACTGAGTGGGGTTTTATCTGGCTCAGTGGTGGAGGAGCTGGGGAATAAACCCTACCCCCACCCCCGCCGGGGACTGTGGGAGTGCTGCTCCCTCGATGAGATGGCCTTGTGCTTTGCGGGTGGTGTGCAGAGCCCAAGGGCACCGTGCAGGTGCAGCAGTTGGAAGGTGGCATGCAAGTCACAGACGGCATCTGCTTCTGGTGACCTCTGAGTGAGATCCGCAGGAGATGGGGGGGGTGGGGGGGGCGGGGAGCCAGGCAGGGTTCCACGAGGCCACTGCTGGCAGAGGGAATGATGCCATGGCTGTGTTCAAGCAGATACCACGGTGGTGCAGTGGGAGCAGCTGAGAACCTTCTCATTCTGACTTGCTTCCTGCAGTCCCTTAGAGAACTCCAACGTGAGGTCAAATACGGCTCCTTTATCCAACCAGGCTAGACCACGAGGGCCCTTCAGCTGCTGCCACACCCAGCTGTCAACAATCATTCCTTTGACAAGTTGTCAATCAATGTCAGGCACCAGGATAGGCACCCCAGGCCATCAGCACAGACTTGGTCTGCACCTGATAGAGCCCCTGTTGCCACTGCAGCCGCCTGCCGGTGAAGCTGGCCCTTTCCTATTCCACTCAGAGGACCTGAGGGAACTGGGACATTACGGGGACTTTAGGACAGCCAATCACAGACAAGCCTCACCAAACACTTGGCTTTCCTCTGGGTCCCGCCCACTTCCTGGGACAGACCAAGGGTCCTCTAGACTCGGCCTTGTTTTCAGCGGAAAGTCCATGTCCTCTGGGTCTCTGATCCAAGCATCACTGAGGATGCTCTGAGCCAAGAGTCGGGTGCAATGCTGAGGACACGCCTGCGACATCGCTCCCTGAACTCAAGAAACCTAATGGAGGCTGGCGCTGTGGCTCACTTGGCTGACCCTCCGCCTGCAGCACCAGCACCCCAGGTTCTAGTCCCGGTCGGGGCGCCGGATTCTGTCCCGGTTGCTCCTCTTTCAGTCCAGCTTTCTGCTGTGGCCCAGGAGGGCAGTGGAGGATGGCCCAGGCCCTTGGGCCCTGCATCCACATGGGAGACCAGGAGGAAGCACCTGGCTCCTGGCTTCGGATCAGCGCAGCGCGCCGGCCAGAGCAGCCATCTGGGGGGTGAACCAATGGAAAAAGGAAGACCTTTCTGTCTCTCTCTCTCTTTCACTGTCTAATTCTGCCTGTTTAAAAAAAGAAAGAAAGAAAAGAAACCCAATGGAACCATGGAGCTAAATTTGGAAAGACTTGGATGCTTGGACGCTTAAGGGCAGTGCTAAAAACCTGAACACAGTTGTTAAAAGCAAACAGAGACAACAATAGCTAACATGGGTTGAGACTTTCTAGGTTCTTGGCATTTTTATGTGGGATCTCTTTCGGTTCTCACAACCACCCAGGGGAACAGGTGTTATGATAAAATTCACGGAGCAAGTAAAGAAACAGAGGCACGGAGAGCTCAGGCAATCTACTCCAGCCACTGGGCCGGAACTAGAGGCAAACCCTTGGATCACAGGATCCTGTGCACCCTCCACTGTATCTCTGACTTAGTTCACCAAGCATCAGCTGGGTCTGTGATGGACAAAGCCAGGAGCTACCAAGGTCCTGAAAAAGAGGAAAGCTACAGGAGTGCTCAGGGACAGCTCCTTTAGCGCCTAGAGCAGTTTGCAGGGTGTCCCCTTCCCCCCCCAAGCAACCCTCAAGGCAGGGTTGGAGCAGCTGGGTGCTGCACCGCAGAGGCATGAGGACAGAGACTGCAGGGCACTTAACTGAGCTCCGAGCTCAACTGCACTCAGCCAACCGTGCGTCGCTCCCAATGAGTATGTGGCAGATGGCCTTGTTAGCTCTAAGAGCTCCCTCTCTCACACCAGCCACTGAGCTTAGCATAACACGAGAAATAAGAACCTCTCCTTCTGCGGTGCTGGTGCAGGCAAAGAGGAAGTCAACAAGACAAGAGATGAGAAAAACAGGCACAAGATGAACGCCCAGCTCTCTGCAGCAAGATCAACACTGCTTACCCTGGGAGCAATGCTACTGAGTTGCTGGTGCGAGGAGAGGGTGTGGGAGGGGCAGGAGAAGACCAAGCATCACCTAGGTTTGTAGCTGAGCTGGAGTGTTCTGTCTCCTAATCCTACCAGAAAGGAACTGCCGCCTGGCTTTGCGGCGGCAACCCTTGGCTGTTGGTCTCATCTTGATGCTGACAAGAGCAGAATTCCGTGGTAGTTAAGAACACAGACTCTGGGGTGGGCATTTAGCCTAGCAGTTCAGACACCAATTAAGACACCCCTGTCCCATATTAGAGTCCCTGAGTTTTATTGCCAGCTCTGGCTCCAGCTCCTGACTCCAAATTTTTGCTAACGGAGACCCTGGGAAGGCAGAAGTGATGGCTTGTGATTGCGTTCCCGCTACCTACCCATGTGGGAGACCTGGATGGAACTCCCTGGCCCAGCTCTGGCCATCACAGGCATTTGGAGAGTGAACCAGCACTCTCTGCCTCTGAGAGTAACAAAACAAAACCAAAAAACGCAAACTCTGCAGCCAGTCCCCCTGGTGTGGAGCCCTCCTCTGCCACTTGTCAGTCATAAAGTGGTAATAGTGTCAGTACCTACTTACAGGTACAGACATGGAGGTTAAATGAGTTGTTTACACACCTGGTAAACATGAGGGTACTTCAAAAGGTGTGTGAAAAATGGAATTAAAATGTCAGTTTATTTTGGTGCCAAAAAAAATTGAATTCTATCCAGAATTTTTTTGAAGGATTCTAACAGCAAGTGTTCCTCATTATCAGTTCTTATTTATCTGTCTTAATTGGCCAATGGGAAATTAAGAGCAAATCTAAAAAGATTTATGAAAGCAAGTGAATTTGAATCTGGTCACTGTCCATCCAAAATGGCAACTGGTGGGGCACTGCAGTTCAGACACCACCTGGGACACCCACATGCCATGGGGGAGTTCTTGGGTTCAAGTCCTACCTCATCTCTGCTTCCTGTTCAGTTTTCAGCTAAGGTGCACCCTGGGAGGTAGTAGATGATGGTTCAAATAGTTGGGTCCCTGTAGCCACATGGGAAACCTGGGTTGCGTTCCAGGCTCTTGACTATGGCAAGGCCTGATTCTGGCTGTCGCAGGCATTTGGGGAGTGAATCCGTGCATGAAAAAATGTGTGTCTGTATCTACCTGTCAAGTAAATAATTTTTAAAACAACATAAAATTTGGGGGGAAAAAAACCAGACCCTGGATAGAGACATCCCACCACCATCTCCACCCCAAACTGAAGTGTATGAGGCCTCGAGATAGCCATGGCTAAACCACAGCGGGAAGGGGGATGGAGGTGTTTACAGTTCACACACACCTTTCTCAGCACAAAGCTGATGTTGTGCAGCACTGATTTGGGGCTGCCACTCTGCTCCTCCGAACCAGAGAGGGCCTGGGCTGAGGGGCTCCACTCCTGGCATGCCTCTGGCCTCTGCTCCTGGCGAAAGTGCCTTTTCTGGCTCTGCGCTTTCTTTGGGTCACTTTTCCAGCTGTCTTCTTGGTCCCATGTCAAGGTGGCATTTGCTAAAAGCAAGACAGTATCTGGGTCTTCTGGTTGGGTGATGTAAGATGGGGGGCTCTTAGCTATGAGGATTTTCTAAGATTAAAGAGACAAAATTAACTGAGCAGACATCATCCCTTTGCAAGCGTCATCCCGATCTACCTCCTAATGACCCTGAATCACAACCTTGACAGCCTACTTAGGACACCCACAAATGACATTCCCGAACTATTCCCACAAGAGAAGCTGCAGCAGAAATAGTTCACTAGCTCGTGCTATCTGGGACAGAGGCCTCTTAAACCGCAAGTCCAATTCAGGTCACCCACTTTGAAGACTGCTGATCCCAGCTACATTATATCCTCGTGCCCAGGAGAGTCGGTCTTGGCTAGACTTTGGGTGTAGCTTGAATGCCTACAAAAGCAGAGCCACGTACTGGTCTCTGCTGAGTCCTATTCCTCAGACCCCACTCAGCTCAGTTCAACCATTTTCTTGGCCACATGCCTACCATGTGACAGCATCTGGGGCACACAGCAGAAATGCAAATATAAATAAGACACAGGTCCTGGCCTGGAAGAGACTGGAGTCTAGTAGAGACGGGAATGTGCATAGGTCATTGCAGTGACAAAGCACTGTAACTTCCAGGAAAGGGGCCCTTGGCTCCCCATCCTGGAGACCCCGCTGACCTTAGATGGTCAGTGCCTCAGCTGAGTCTGCACAGGTTCCATCAGGCAAAAGGGAGGAGGGTGGGCCAGTGTAGGGCAGAGTGTGAGCAAAGGCCTGGCTTTGGGGGTATAGGGACAGGAAGCTAGACGTTCAGGATGACTGAGGCACAGATGAGAGAGATCAAGGAGTGGCAGGAGGGAGGATGGGAAACAAAACGGCTGGAAACTCGTGGAGGACAAGGGTTCAAGGATTTGGGGCAGGTGAGGGTTAGTGGTTAGACCAATACCTTACAGCTCTCTGAGGCCTGAGTGCAACACAGATTTGAGGAGGACGAGGTTGGAAAAGGAGGCGCTGCTGATAGACCCCTGCGTTTGACCAGATGGCACAGGATGGAGACCCCCCACCAAGTGTCTCAATAGAGACAGAATGAAGAGTACAAATTCAAGAAACTCCATCCTTCCTCCAGCCTTCAAAGTCGCTTTTATTCCTGATACCACAATATATACAATTAACATGATGGCATTGATCCTTGTACTTTGCTCAAAAAGTATTGACCCAACAGTCCACTTGCCCAACCTATAATACAGTAGTGTCTCTTAGAGTTGAGGCAACGTGGTGATCAGGGGGTGACTCAACTGGAGTCTTCATTGACCAGAAGGAAAGAAAGAGGTGCAGGAATCCAGGTGCCTAAGGTCACTTACAGATTCCTGGCTTGGGTGAATAACATCACTCAGTCAAAGCATAGATGTCCAAACAAACTAGTTCTTGTGTTTGTTTTATCCAAAAGTCCTTCTCTTTTTCTTTCCTCACCTGAACTCCAAAACTACACTATCTTCCCTGCATGTAAGCCACTTATATCCTGTGCATGTGTAGAAATTGCTGTGGTACTTGCTTCTATCCTGGACTGGAAGTTTTTGGAAGTAAAGACTCCCTTCCTTATATTTGCATTTCCCACGTACCTTGTGTATTGTAAGCACACAGTAAGTCTTTGGTTGATGAATGAACAGATGAATGAATGACTAAATGAGAACATAAATGCAGTGCCCACCCCCAACCCTCTTTGTGACTTCCATCTCCACATCCATCACAGGACATAGATAAGAGGGGATGACTCAGTGCAAACCAGCCCCACCCCCAGGGCAACTGAAGAGTCAGGGCTTGGGTAAAGTGTGGAGGGTCAGGAAACCATCTCCAGATGATGGACAGAGTACAGAGACCCTATTTTTCCTACAAGAGAAGATGGCCTATGAAACTGTGCCTGCTGCCTCCTCCATGGACAGTTTCCAACCCAACTCAGAACAGGTTCCTGTCTCCAGGGTCAACCCAACAAGTGCCCCAGCATCCCCTGCATCTGAGCACTTCCCCACCCAGGAGTGACATTGCTCTTCCCTACTCACCCAATGTGAGTTATACCTTCATTCTCCTTAGAGAGACATTGGCTTCGGCCACTGCTTTGACCGAGAAAGGCAAGATTGCAATGGAAAACTTCATTACGTTAAACATGGCAATCACGCTAAACGCCTGAAGAAGAAAAGAGAGGTATGAGGATTTAGGATGGGAACGTGCCTTGGCTCCACACGCTCCTCCCCAGGGGGGTGAAGCTGGCTGATGAGAGAACCAGCGGCTGAGTCGGGATTTGCAGAGGAGCAATGATTCCTCACCATGGCTCAGACACCATGGCCTGGCAAACCAGGGACAGAGGCCTCTTGATCTAGTTCGCTTTATGGATTTGCACCACAATGGTTGGAAACAAATCCCCTTAACCCTGTTGATCCACAAGGGAGATCTCAGGGCGGTTGGAACTGTACCCATGTGGACGTCTCTATCCACACCACATCCTTGTTTGAACCTAGAGCAATCACTCGAAACCCTCAGTGGATTTCCCGACATCATTCTCTGCTTTCAGATCTTCAGAGTCTTTGGAGCGAGAGCATCCCTCTCCACATCACACACAGCCTGGGGGTGAAGGCGGAAGCTCTCTGGAAGAACCTTCCAGAGTCCCTGCTGGCTGCTAGACAGAAGCGTCTGGCTCTCCCGCCCCCCAGCGTCTGGCCTCTAGACGCTGCCTTCCCACACACCAAGGTCAAAGTTGAGAGCCGTTGTTCAACAAGGGATCCCAAGGACATCGCTTTCTGTCTGCAGGGGGCCCTTCTTCCCGGAGCCCTTCCTAGAGGGTAGTTAATATGGGAGAGCCTCAACCAAGACAAGTTCCCTCCCGCCTGCTGGAGTCCCGAGAGTGTGTGAGCTCACCTCCCAGAGTTCATCTTCCCACCTGTCCACCTTGTAAGTAGCAGCCTCTAGCCACTGTTTCGGGATTGAATAACACAGTCCTGAGCAATCCTGCCTGCTGTGGATAGAGCCCTGGTCTTCACTAATCCTAGTCACTCTGTTAGCGTGGTGATGAAGGCAGGCACCCATGGTATCTGATCCTGAACTCAGCTCCATAGGGAATTCAACTCGCAAAGCACCACCTTGGCTCAGGAGGCCCAGGCCTCGGTTAACAAAGCCCTGGAGTTACCTAATACGACCAAGCACCTTGGAGTTGACTGCTACTGACCTGGCCCTGCCAGAGGAAGTGACTGCAAGGGATTTGGAATCCAAGGAGTTAAGAAACTTGGTTTCCGGGCATCTGGTTTTGGTCTAGCTGTCTTGTAAGCCGTTATGTTAGAAAATATTCACTATGTGCACTCGGCTTGTTTTCAAATTAGTTTCTCGATGCGTTACTCCTGGGGGAAAATGGCCTTTCTGTTTGGGATCCTGGAAAGCGGTCGCTGTGATGGGGTGGCGCTCCATCCAGGTCCCTGCACACGTGGACATGCACTGTGACTCTGGAGGCATGGCCAGGTTCAAAGCCCCAGCGGGTGTGAGAGCAAACCGCGTGTGAGCTGTGACCTGGGGCAGAAGTGGAGAAAAAAGGCACCCGCCCGAGCGACACGGAGCGGCCGTGGCAGGGACGAGCAGGGGCCCCTGGCTTCTCAGATGCCCGGTGCGCTGGCCTGGGGCGCCTTCATCGGGGGTACAATGCTTCCTCTCTGATCTCACCTATTCTCGCTTGTTTCCTTCTCTCTGTTTCTTTTTCTTGTCCACATTGATTTTCCCTCCATTACTAGCCCTGCAGGTGCTCAGGCTAATATCTCAGCTGTTTTCTTTATTTAAGCCTGGGGCCATTTTCTCTCCAATTTGGTTTTTCTTTACCTTTGAATGCTCAGGCCCCCTTGTGAAAAAAAAAAAAACAACCCTATATATATATATATATATACACACACACAACACAACACACACACACACACACACATATTCATTTCTCACATTTATCCTGATTTCCCTTCTGAGGCTTTCAACTTGCACTTGGCAGGCCTGGGTAAGAATCAGGCTAAAAAGGAAAGCAGATGCAGTACTTGGGGGTCAGGCCTGATGACACATAAAGTAGTACCGACCGCGGCGTGGAGAGGGACTATTATCCCACTTACAGTTAACAAAATTAAGGTGAGAGAGGGTCGATAATTTGCCATAACTCCTAGCTAGGAAGTAGTAGAGTCGGCTTTAGAGAAGGCAAAGCTGGTGCGTGAGCCCAGACTCCGACCCCAGCCCTGCCTCTCCTGACAGCTACATCTCTGTGCACCAAGGGAGTCTCCCAACCGACCTTGTAGCATGCAGCAAACAAAACAGCCCAGCACACCTCCGATTTCAAATGTTTTTCCCCCAAATTCTCACTGTGTGAGAATGGAGCCATCCCTATCCCTGGCCCCCTGCAAAACACTGGTTTTTTTTTGTTTTGTTTTGTTTTGTTTTTTCAAAGCTGGGGCAGAATTCTGGCTCCGGGTGGCCCATGGCGATTGGGTGTTCTGATACCAGTGTGGAGCAAAGGAGGGGAGGGGCTTGGCGGGCACGGGACACAACAGGGCCCCGGTCTGGCGGTGGCTCTTACCACAGGGGCGGTGAGCTTGCGTCTCAGGAGGATGTGGCTGGTGAAGGTCAGTACGATGGCTATGGTGGACGCGATGGGGGCCAGGGCCGAGTTCCCACTTTGGACAAATCCAGCCTTTTCCAGTAATTTCCTTTCCCTCTTTCTTATATCTGCAAAGTAGAAAACAGCCCCGAGTCGTCTTGTTTTGCAGATCCAGCCCAGCGCTAAGGAAGTGCGTGACCCCCCGCCTGCTCTTCCTCCAAATTGAGCGGTAATGATGCCTGTTGCGGAACTTAAATGAAATGAGCGCAGGGAGCCCCATGCACAAGCCCAGCGTGAGCCAGGCGCTCGGTGCGTGTCGCTGCCGTCACCGGATGGTCTCCAAGGCCCCTTCCAGTCCTGGTATGCTGTGTGTCGGGAGTTACAAACTCAGACGCCTCCAGGGACCAGGCCATGACAGTGAATGAGGTCACAGGGCAGAGGGCAAGACCAGAAGGAGGGTGCAGAGTGCAACAGAGCGGGGAGCTGCTTCCAAGTGCGGGGGGGGTGGGGGGGGGGGGCTGTGACACGAGGCCCTCGACCCTCCCCGCGTCTCCGGTCTAGATTTGTGCGAGCTGTCTCCTTCCATCTCAGTGTTGGGAACTCCCTGGGAAAAAACTGAAATCCCGTAGAGCCACACAAAATGCATATGCCAGCCCGAAGCCCACCAGATGGGAGCCCCTGCCCCGTGTCCCTACGACAGCCACACACCCAAGAGCGCCTCTCGCTTTCTCGAGGCTGGAAGATGTCCACGACTCTGCACTGCTCACGGGTCGAATCCCAGCCTCCTTCTCCTGGGAGTCACAGCCCTCAGCTGCAACCCAGGCTCACCTGCAGCACCAGCAACGTGAGAGCCACAGCTGCTCCTGCCGTGGGCTCAGCACGTGCCGGGCTGGCGGGGCGCCTGACTGGGCAGGACTGGCACCCTCTTCTCGTGGGAGCCAGAGCTGTGATCTCACCTGCCCTGCCCTTCAAAGAACACCCAGCCACCCTCTGCCCCCAAGTGCACCCCCATAGCTCCACCTCCAGGCAGGGGATTGCCCCAGCTTTCTGTGCGTCCAAGTCCTGCCCTGCCTTAAGGTCTACCTGAAATCCACCTGTGACGGGAGGCTGCCCCTGGTCTCCTTCTCCAACCTGGTGTGTGGCCCCGGGAGCCCCCTGAATGCCGCTGAGTTCCAGTAGTGGCACTTTCCCCATGTTTAAAGTACTGTCAATACCCTCACCTCAGCTACAAGGCCCTGAACCTGTAGCTTCACCTGGCTGTGCATCAAAAAAAAAAAAAATCCATATTGAACAGGTGCAGTTTTTTCTAGTCCTTAGTCCCTTAACATTACCTTATAACAACTTAACAACTCTCCTCATAGCACTTACATTGTGTTAAGTATTGTATGTCCTTTAGAGATGATTTTAAAGTACATAGAAAGATCTGCAAATTCGGCAGACCTTTTATATGAGCGACATGAGCATCTGTTGATTTTAGTATCCCCCGGGGTCCTGGAAGCAGTCCCCCATAGAGACTAGTTCGAGTGTTTCCTCATTTAACACGTTCCGGACAGAGGGGACAGCAAGTGCAAAGGTCCTGTGGCAGGAAGGAACATGCAGAAACAGATGCAAGGTCCACCTGACTCCAGTGCACTTGCCAGCAGTTAGAGTGATGTGTGGTACAGCAGGAGAGGCCAGCAGGGGCCAGCTCACGCTGCACCTGCCAAAGCCGTGTGATGGAGGGATTGGGATTTCATTCCAAAGGCCTCCCCATCAATCAGAAGCCACTAAGTTTTCCCGCAGCACCTGACTGACATTTTTAAAAGGTCTCGCTGGCTGCTGGGTGCAGATGGGTTACAGAGGGGCGGGGGAGGGCCGAGGGAGCATCCAAAGGCTCTGGCCATCATCCTGGAGGGCAAGGCGATTGGCTGGCACTGGGGTGGCGGAGGGCTGCAGAGAGACAGATGGGTTCCGGTGCCTTCCGCAGGTTTGCCAGCAAGTGCGTGGCTGTTCTGAGCTAGCCATCTCATCCTCTTTTCACCTGTACAGCGCCCTCGGCCTCGCGCTCAGTGGGAATTTCTTCCATGTTGATTGACTCAAGGGGCTTGCGTGAAATTCAACTGGGTTCCTTTGAATTAAGTCCACCCGATCGAATCGTACGGAAGTGAGTTCCGAGTGTGAGGAGGTATCCCTGGGTCCTCAGAGAGGGTGCCCTGGGGATGCCCTGCCCCGTTCAGGAGCAGCTTTCCTAAAGCCACTCCCTCAAAGGCAGGTACACAGCCTCGGCCCCAATGCCACGTGGGTGCAAAGTGTCATTGTGATCCAGACAGGCAATTGTAGCGGGGACTCAGATCATTAATCGGCCAGCCACCTGACTCCGTGTCAGCAACTATGTAAATGTCCCTGCAATTAGATGGGCATTTATATTTGATTGAAATAGTTTTAATATCATCTTTAAAAACTACATAGCATCCTCTTATCGGTCCGAGGAACATTGAGTCATGGCCATTCAAACGTGATGGGGCTGCCGCTGCCCCTGAGCAGGAGAGAGGTGGGTGCTTCCAAACATTTGTGCAAAATGCATTTGATGCAAAAGCCATGCATGGATTTCAAATCTTTTTACATCCAAATAAATATATTTTTGAAGGGTTATTTTATTTATTTGAAATATAGTTGTAGAGACAGGTAGGGCCAGAGAGGTCTTCCAACTGCTGGTTCACTCCCCAAATGGCCGCAATGGCCAGAGCTGAGCTGAGCTGAAGCCAGGAGCCAGGAGCTTCTTCCAAGTCTCCCACATGGGTGCAGGGGCCCAAGGACTTGGGCCATCTTCTACTGCTTTCCCAGGTGCATTATCAGGGAGCGGGATAGGAAGTGTAGCAGCTGGGACTCGAACCAGTGCCCGTATGGGATACCAGCGGGGGTTTTAACCTGCTGTGCCACAGTGTTGGCCCCCAAATAAATATCTTTTAATACTATTTTCCATAATCATTTGGAAGCGTGTGTGTGTGTGTGTGAATGTGGGCATATGTGTAGACATCCCCTACCTCAAGGAACTAGTCACTTGAGACAGCTCTTTTCCCACACACAATGTTTCAGTGGGTTATTTCTATACAAGGGACAGCTCAGTATTGGGAACCCCATGGCCCAGCACAGACAAAACATTATGTCGCTCACCCAGAACAGGTGCCTGGGTCTGCCGTAGGATCTCTGTGATCCTTTGGAAGTCCTGTGACCTGCACAGCAGCTCAAGGCATTATCTCTGTCCCCCCCACCCCGGGATGAGTCACGCTGGGACCCTCAAGAACCCCTTGGCAGGGCCCATCCTCCAGGGCAAGTGGTTTGGGGAGCAGCGGCTCAGCCTACCTCGAATCGTGTTTGTAAAAGATTTCTCCCAGGCATACATTTTAATCAGCTTGATGCAGGTCAGAAACTCATTCATTGTCTGAACGCGCTTGTCTGTCACTGAAATCGCTGATCTTCGGAAAGCAGAATTAAGCTTAGCCATAAACATCTGAAACCAAGGCACAGACACTGTGTTCAGAGAATTGCTGAGAGCTGCAGTTGGCCTAAAAAAAAAGAAAAAAACAAAGAAAAAATCCAGGGATCTGAGTGTCGGTGCCGGGGAAAGTTCCAAGGGAAGTTGGTTCGAGATTCCCGATGGAGTTTACCCCTTGAGTGGTGGCCGCTGCTGCTGTGATCTGGGGGGAAAGCAGCAGGAATTTGGCAGGTGAGAGAGTGAATTGCCAGGAAGTAAGGGGAGTGTCGGGGGCTTGGGGAAACTGAGGAAGCACATCTCTCCTCCCCCAGAGCATTCAGACTCCAGTTCGTAAAGAAATGCACGGTGTCAGTGAGACAAAGCACCCCTGTGAGCCCAATGTGGGGCACGGGCTTCAGGCGGGTGCCCCAGCAGGGAAGCCTTCCGTGCCATTGACGGCGGTGTGTGCCAAGTGCTAATGTCAAGCAGTTACGGCCACAGAGGGCCCGCCATTACCTGGATGGGGATGAATATGACGTACACAGATATCCCGATGAGAGCTGTGGGCCCCAGAATGAAAAAGGCATACACTGCGCAAACGACCATTAGGATAGGGATGGTGGCTGGCAGGGGACAAAACAAGGCAGCTTCAAACAAGGAATAGCTATCACTTGATAGTATATTGAGCACCTGGAAAGAAAGCACACGGGTTCAGGTGTGGGTGAGAAGGGCCACTCAACTGCAGGTTTTCAGGCGGGCAGGGGGGGGGTCTTGGGAGAGAAGACAAAAGCTGCTTTGGGGGGGGTGATCATGAGGGGACCGCGTGATGAGTCCTATGGCCATGTCCCCATGTAATTTTGAGAGGCCAGTCTTTGAGGACTGAGAATCTCAGGGAAGAAAGATGCAGAGAGCAGCCGTGGGACCCCCGGAGTGGGGCTGCTGGCTGCCTGCCCCTCTTTGCTACCAATGTTCAGCAATGGGCCCCAGCTCTTGGAAGGCCACCTTTCCCAGCCTCCTTAGTGCAAGAAGTGTGTCCATGTGACTGTCAAGGGAATGACCACGTTGGGATGTAAGTCAGCATGTGAAGGGGACGTTGCGATGAATCCTATTTCATTCTCATTTGAGAGACAGACAGAGAGAGAGAGAGAGAGAGAGAGAGGAAGGGAGAGGATATAGATAAATGATAGATGATTTGCCGGCGCCGCGGCTCACTAGGCTAATCCTCCACCTTGCGGCGCCGGCACACCGGGTTCTAGTCCCAGTCGGGGCACCGGATTCTGTCCCGGTTGCCCCTCTTCCAGGCCAGCTCTCTGCTGTGGCCAGGGAGTGCAGTGGAGGATGGCCCAAGTCCTTGGGCCCTGCACCCCATGGGAGACCAGGATAAGTGCCTGGCTCCTGCCATCGGATCAGCGTGGTGCGCCGGCCGCGGCGGCCATTGGAGGGTGAAGCAACGGCAAAGGAAGACCTTTCTCTCTGTCTGTCTGTCTCTCTCTCACTGTCCACTCTGCCTTTCAAAAAAAAATGATAGATGATGATGGATAGATAGACAGATGATTGATAAATAGATAGCTCCCAACCCCTGGTTCACTCCCAAATGCCCACAGCAGCCTTGGGTGGGGCCAGCAGCCAAAGACAGAAGCCAAGAAGAACTCAATCCGGGCCTCCTGCGGGAGTGGCAGGAACTCAACCACTTGAGCCTTTTCCACTGCCTCCCAGAGGCTGCACCACAGGAATCTGGAGTCACGAGCCAGTACCAGGAATCAAACCAGGCGTTCCTGTGCCGAATGCAGGTGTCTTAGCCGCTAACCAGGTCAAATGCCTGTCCCTGGACTGAGTTCTTAAAGAATGCTGACTCAGCTTGGAAGACACTTCCCTTTTGTTCTCTCTCCCTCCAAACAGTGTCTGAGACATCATTGAGATGGCTGGGTCTCTGGCGTCCATCCAGAGCCAATATGGAAGCCATGTCCAAGCATAAGTTGTGAAGAAGCATAGAAAGTTCTGGAAGCTACACACACACACACACACACACACACACACACACACACTAGCCCTCTTCCAGACTTTTTGTTTAGAGTGAAATAAACTTATCTTGCTCTTTTAGGGTTTCTGTTACATGCAGCTGAATCTAATCATAATTAATACAGAGTGCCTTGAGCATACTTGAACTGCGAGAGAGAAGCAAGTCCTTTCTTTTATGTCACACCACCTGGGGTTCCCTTGATTAGGGAAATTTTCTCAAATAGGTGGTAAGGACCTTATGGCTAAGAATCAAGGGCGTAAGAAAAGGTTTACTCTGAAGTCCAACAGGCGTGGTCTAAATCAAGGCTTTGCCACACCTGGAAGTTTTGTGTCCATCAGTCGGTCAATATAATATTATTAAATGCCTATCGTGCACTCTGTTCTGCTCCAGGGTCTCTGACACTGACCATCACAGGGACTGGGTGACGTCACCCCAAGCCCTGTTTCCAGCCAGAACCTGGACGCCTTTCCAATCCCCCAGCCTGAAGGGAGCTCCCTGCCCTGAGTCTCAGCATGGAGGTGGAACACAGTGGGCAGACCCCCGACAAGCCACAGGAGACCGGTGCTCGCTCTGGAAAGCAAGCCTCACACAGGTGTGGGAAACTCAGGAGCTGCCTGCTGGGCCTGGCCTCCCTCGGGACCAGCTTACCTCGCCAACAGAGAAGTGTGCCAGTGTCTTGAAGGACAGCAGGTTTTCAAAAACCAGGGTGGAGACGGCCACCTTCAACCGGATCGCTGTGCGGTAGTTGATGGCCCAGGCCAGGGCCCAAAAGAGGACCTTGGTAAACTCAGTGGCAAAAAGGGCTAGGCACAGGCTAATGCCAACCCAGACTTCCCCAGAGCTGCTCTCAGTGTGCTGGAGGATTTGGTGAATGAGAACTGTCTGTAAAACAGCGCGGCAGAGAGAGAGAGAGAGAGAAAGGGCCGCTGGGGGTGGCGGCTGTGGTGGGAGGCCTCAGACAGTGTCATCAAGCTGACATCAGGAGGCAAACTTTTTCATTAATTGCAGTGGCAGCTGCTGTGCCCGACAAGGGTTGGCTTTATGAAAAGCTGCCTCCAGGGCGTGGGGCAATAACGGCAGTGCACTAAACGCAGCGGCTCGTAGACAGAATAACTAAGGGCATCCTTTGTGTTGCTGGACACATGGGGGACAAGGCAGGAGAGGGGCCGCCTGCACTCACCGGCCCTATGGCCGCCATGATGATGCACAGGATGTTGGCCACAACGTCCATCAGCACGCGTGTCCTCTGGAACTTCCAGACCACTCGGCCCAGAGAGGCCTTCTGGGGGCCCACCTGCTCCACTTCTTCATCCCAAAGGATTCGAAATCTGTGGCCAGAAGATGGGAAGGGGAAAGGGATTGGCATGCCCGCCGCTTGCTGCCTAGCTGCTTGGCTGGGCTGCTCACCCGTTCTCTGTTTTCTGGGCAGCTGGGACGTGCAGGGGTAGGACGCAATGCCTGGATATCTGGCACTTGCCCAGCTCTGATTAGAATGTGGAGGCAAGAGAGGAGTCTTCCCCAGGGCACAGAGGACTGAGCTCATTTCCAAGGTCCAAACGGAGGTCCGTGTGAAAGGAGAGAAGGGGGTGAAGGAGAGGGGCTGGCGAGACCCAGCAGGCAAGGCCGGCCCAAGGCTTGCGGGGCCCCATGGGGGCTCAGGAAGGGGCTTGGACGTCACCCCAAGGACGACAGGAGCTGTGACAGGCTTCTTAGCCAATGCATGAGCTCCTCTCACATTTCTAGCAGATCGTTCGGTTGGTTGGAGGGTAGTGGATCACAGGGGAGCAAAGGCAGAAGCAAGAGGCCACGGTAGGAGCTGCAGGTGGGAGCTGGCAGAAGCTGAGAATTGTAAAGCGGTGGCTCTAAGGGCAGGTGGACAGGGAGAGGCCACAGGACTCACTGCTGAATTAGATGCAGGGGGGAAGGAGACGGAAGGCCAAGGATGCATTCTGGCTCCCTGGTTGACCAGGAGTGTGAGCGGAGCTTGTGAAGAGGGAGGAGAGAGGAAGAGGAGAATGGTATCAGGTCAGGGCCTGAGACCAAGAGTATGGCTCGAGGTCTGAGATGCTTGCGAGGCATCCAAGCGTGGCTGTGCGGTCAGATGTGGAGGCTGGCAGGGAGGCGCGGGTAGGAGACAGATACAGATAGGTGATGGGGCAGTCAGCATGGGGCCGCGGTTGAAGCTTTTCCTACTGAATTAGATCAGCCAGGCACAGAGACAGCCCTAGGTTGAACTTGGGTGGCTGGAAAGAAACAACACAAACAGATGGAGGAGCAGCGTCCAGAGAGGTAGGACAAGCCAGGGCTCGGTGGGCCCCTTTCTCTCAGTGCTCCCTGGCAATGCTCTCCGGGCTGGAAGTGGATTTTGGAAATTGCCACCACCTGAGAGTCCTTCGGGGCACCAGTGAGGGGCAGTCCAGCTCCAGAAGCACCTGAAGGCCATGACTAAGACTCCCAGCTTGTGCTGTGGACATGACCCCTGCATGGCCGCAGACAAGGAGACTCCTAGGAGGCACAGGTGCAGAGGCTTTGGCAATACTGCCCTTGTTCAAGGCATCCCAGGCCATCGGAGCCCTGGGGGTCAATGCTGCTGTTAGGAGGAAGGCAGCAGAGGCCTCCGTGTGGACATGGAGAGGTCTGTATGAAGTCTCCACTGAACTGAGCAAAGCGATCAACAGCTCTCTGGCCTGCTTCCTTTTCTGTTCAAGAGAGAGAAAGCAGGGCCCTTGAGTGGGGAGTGAGAGGAAGGGGTATTGATCTGTAGACAGGGGTAGCCCAGGGTGTGCGTGAATCATGGTGTTTGTAGCCCTGGGGAGTGGAGCAGGGCCGTGGCAGGGGTGCCTCCACTCTTTAAGCTTCTGTCGCTGTCACACACACTATGATACTGAACGGGAAGTAGATTGGCCCGGTGATGTTTATATTTTTACAGAGCAGATCTCGCAAATACTGGGCAGTTTCGTCTAGTTCCACCTAAACCCATCTCGTAACAGTGAAATCCAATAAGGGTGTCTAAATGGAAACGGAACACTGCCTGCAGCCGCATGCGACAACCCAGGTGGGGTCCGATCGGCTCAGAGCTGGTGAGTTCCCAGGCACCCTGCTCCTGAGGTGCCTTACAAAGCAGTGTGGCCCTGGGCCTCAAGCCGTAGCTCTCCCACCCATCCTCTCTCCATACCACCTCTGCCCAGTCCAGATCTTTCCAGGATGGGGCCAGGCAGTTCAGGCCACCCAGCCCCAGGCTCACAGCGCAGCCACTGAGAAGGGGCACCAGCACCTGTGACTGTGGATTTCCACCCTTGGGAGAGAAGTAGAAGCCCAGGAGAGGGCTCCCAGGAAATCTTCCCGAGCCTACCTTTTGGCGTTGGTGTCGGATGAGTCGTAGGGCGACAGCGGGGGCAGGGTGTCCGCGGTCAAGGTGTGATTGTAGCCCCTGACCATCACCGGCGTGAGCCAGGAGAAGGTGGCGAAGGACAGCAGCCCCGCGTCGTCCACCGGGTTAGATGCCAACCTATGCACAAGTGAGACACGGCCCTGACTCCCTTCCTGCCTGTGCTAACCACAGCCAGGCTCTGAACTCAGGACCTCAGCAGGCGTGAGCCGGAGCCAAGCCCACTGCAGCTCACGAGAGACGACGGCTACATTTTCAGGAATTTTGCACGTCGCTTGTTAAACACAGCTGGTATTCTACAGTAAAGTGCATACATTGAAAGATATTATAAGTCACCTATTAAATACAGCATCACTCATGCTCAAAACTCTCCACTTCCTGGCGGTTTTACCATCAGCTGTGCTCTTGAGGTCGGCTGCACTAATTGCCTGGGAAGGGGGCAAATACCGTAGACTGGTGAGCTACCGAGCCACTCTTCCCGGCTTTGCACTCAGTGATGTTGCGTTGGTAGCCACAAAGCAGCCTTGGCAGAACTATTCACACCACAGGACAGGCTGCCACGTGGGATGCTAGCAGCCCTTATCAGAGTACTGGTTCAACTCCCAGCCACTCCACTTCTGATCCAGCTTGCTGTTAATGCACCTGGGAAGGCAGCAGATGACAGCCAAATATCATCTACATGGGAGACCAGATGGAGTTCCTGGCTCCTGGCTTTGGCCCGGCCCAGCCCTGTCTGTTGCTGGCATCTGGGGAGTAAACCCAGCAGATCTCTATCATGTGCTCTCATTCGGGGTGTGTGTGTGTGTGTGTGTGTGTGTGTGTATGTCCCTCTATCCATCACTTTTTCAAATAAATAAATAAATCTCTTTTATCTCTTTTTTAAAAATGATAAACAGGCAATTTCTTTCAGTGGCCAGTTGCTCGACATTTACCCAAGGTTAATCCTAAGGTCCATTCCATGGGAAAGAGAGGCACCTGCTTCATGTAGGAGGAAGCAGAGACCCATTAGCTGGCCAACAGGGGGTTCGGGTAGGCACCTTTCAACCTCAGGAGGATGGGAGGCTCCAGAGCAGGGCAGGCTACAGGGAGCTGAGACCACCCCAGTGGGTAAGACCTGGAGGCAAAGTCATGAGTTTGCTGCAAATGACCTGATGTGTGTCAAGTGCACTGTTGGGAAAAGGAAGGGGATTTGGGGTGGCAGTGAGGAGGGGGCAGGAGAAAGCAGAGATGTAAGGAGAAAAAGGAGGAGGGGAGAGAAGAGGAAGAACGAGGGAGAGGGAAGGAAGGGAGAGAAAAACATGAAGAAAGAGGAGGACGCAAAAGGAAAGGAAGAAAGAGGAAAAGACCGTGGTTTTGGCCATTGAAGAATTAAGCTCTGAAGATGGAATACAAGTCAGAGACACGGAAGCTCATCTCCCAATTGCTGGCTGTTTATGATTTCCCGGGCCCTGCAAGAGCTTTGTATTTGTGGCAGGTGCTGTGAGGTGCCCTCCGACCTCTGCTATAAGGAGGAGAGTTCTGTGCGAGCTCACGCTGGCTGCATCCCCCCCTGTCGTGTGCTGGGCCTCTTTTCGCCATCTGTTCCAGAGCCTTTGCAGGAGCGTGCATGTAGCCAGGACTGTGGGGGGCTTGGTGCTCCCAGCAGCAAACCATAACAGAGTGTGGGACGGAGCCCACTGACAAATGCCCCCAGCTCTCAGAATTTGGGTAGGAAACCTGGTAGAATGCAGACGCCCCGCCCACTGCAGGACACTGGTGCCGCACCCCACAGTGCCTTTCCCCCGTCCCTGCTTCTTTCTCCCTATGCCTTCCCCCACGCTTCTTGAGATCACCTCCTAAATCAACTACCAGCACCCAACTTCTTGGTTGAGATTGTGGGGAGGATTTGAGCAAGGAGAGTCAGTAGTTGATGCCATAAAAGATGGTTTTCATCATAAAGCTAAGCACTATCTTCTACAATTCTCACAAGAACTCAAGGGATGGGTAGTATTGTGACCCCGTTTCACAGACAAAAACATCAAGGCATAGGGTACCTGCCCAAAGTCTTACAGCCGGTTCCTGAAGTAGGAATTCAAACCATTCCAGGATCCCATTATTCTCCTAAGCACTGGTCCACAATGACTCTCCACAAGACAGTTACAAACTGAACTATAAACCAGGATGTAGGGGCACACCTGGGTCTAAGGGTGATAGCCCAAGCCCTCACCTCTCACCTTACAGCATGCTAATGTGTGTGTGTGTGTGGCCTGGAGATCCCAGAAGGCAGTGCAGTGTCGCCTCATCATGCAGCTGTCCCTTGTCCTTTGTTTCTCACAGAACAAGCCACAGGGTCCTTACCATGTAGCAATGACAGGATTTCAGAAATAGTTTCATTAACATCATGTTAATGACACACACAGGAACTTCCAAAAATCATCAAAAATGGAATTAAAAGAGTTTATGTTGGGGCAAAAACTTTTGAAGTCCTTGAGTGGTTTCTTCCTAGTACGCAGCTTCCGTGGACTTTTTGAAGACCTCTCATAGTTAGGGTACCACAACATGAAGCACGAGAGCTTGGAAGTCAAGCTGCTGCGCTGCTCTCCTGCAGTTACAAAAGGTCCCATTCTCTCTCCCTGTCTGCCTCGCACATCCTTGCAATGTGACCCCGCAGCTCATTCTGCCGAGAGGCGGATTCTATCCCCCACACTTAAAATCTAGATTGACCTGTGACTTGGCCCAAAGCGTGAAGTGCAACAAGTGGTGTGCCAGTGTGAACCTAAGCCTCAAGAAGCCAGATGCTTCCTGCACTCCCCTAGAAGCCGACCCCATGACTGTAGGATCAACCCCAGTCTGGCCTGCTGCAGGTGGCGATCCCACGTGTCCCAGTTTCCTGCATGATCCCAGTCCAGTTAGCACAGAAGCACAGCTACCTTGCTGACTAGCAGATGCATGAAAGGCCTTGTCAAGAGCAGATGAACCATCTGGCGCCGCGGCTCACTAGGCTAATCCTCTGCCTGTGGCACCGGCACGCCAGGTTCTAGTCCCGGTTAGGGCACCGGTTCTGTCCCGGTTGCTCCTCTTCCAGTCCAGCTCTCTGCTGTGGCCCAGGAAGGCAGTGGAGGATGGCCCAAGTGCTTGGGCCCTGCACCTGCAAGGGAGACCAAGAGGAAGCACCTGGCTCCTGGCTTTGGATCAGCGCAGCGCACCGGCCGTAGCGGCCATTTGTGGGGTGAACCAACATAAAAGGAAGACCTTTCTCTCTGTCTCTCTCACTATCTAACTCTACCAGTCAAAAAAAAAAAAAAAAGAGCAGATGAACTGCCCAACTGAGCTCAGCCTAAGCTGCCTTATTCTATGGGCCATTCAAAAAATTATAATGTTAAAATTGGCAACTCTTTTTTGGTTACAAAGCAAAAACTACCTGATGATACTTAGGCAAGTTATTTAAACTCTCTGTGCCTTGGTTTCCCCCATCTATTAGATAAAGAGTATCACAATTCTTCCATAGTGATTGCAAAGTGGATGGATGTTTGTGTGTCACTTGGGCAGATCCTGGCGCATGGAGTGCTCTCCTTAAATATTAGCTATAGTCTCCCTTTCACCAAAGGACAGCAGCAAAGCAAGCACCAAGTGAGTGGTTGACAAATGCAGGACCTTGTGGATGGGTGGATGGACAAAAGGATAAGCACACAGAGCAGCATGTGGGGAGCAGGAGCAGGGCCCACCCCACAAGATACAGGAAACTCTTCCTGGAGCTCCTGCCCCCCCTTCAAGCCTCCTCCTGATGTACCTGGCATAGGGTCGCACAGGAATCATGGTCTTCAGGCTGGGGTCATATCTCTCTGAAAAGGATCTCCGCTGGCCCCGCCGGTCCAGATCTGAGATAAGGTAGGGGCCATCACCCACCATCCTGAAGGAAGTCTGGAGCCCTGGGCGCTTGGTCTAGGGATGCGTTCACACTGCAACAGAGAGATTGGGGAAGGTTCACTGAGAGCATCCCCTGCTCCACCCAAACCAGCTCCCTTTCTGGGGCCCTTCAGACCTGGTGTTCCCACTTATGAGGCCTTCCACACTTACAGGGAGTGTGGCCAGAAACTCTGCCACATCCTTTAACTGCACTCGGAGGCTTCTTTTTTGATAAGAATTTCTGGATGGGGGCCAGCGCCGTGGTGCAGTAGGTTAATCCTCTGCCTGTGGTGTTGGCATCCCATATGGGCACCAGTTCTAGTCCCAGCTGCAATCCTCCAATCCATCTCTCTGCTATGGCCTGGGAAAGCAGTAAAAGATGGTCCAAGTCCTTGGGCCCCTGCACCTGCATGGGAGACTGGGAAAAAGCACCTGGCTCCTGGCTTCGGATGGGTGCAGCTCTGGCCATTGCAGCCAACTGGGGAGTGAACAATGGATGGAAGACCTCTGTCTCTCTCTCTCTCTCTGTCTCCCCTCTCTCTGTGTAACTCTGACTTTCAAAATAAATAAATAAATCTTTAAAAAAAATTTCTGGTTCCTCCTCCCCTTCTGTTCTCATGCTGTGTGGTTTGGGAACAGAAAAGCCTAGGATGGGTTTGCTATGGGGAACCAGCTTGCGGCCAAGGCTGAATCCCAGCTGGAAAAAGAGCCCCAAGAAAATGGGTCTGCTTTCTCAGGGTGACACAGTGGAGTTCATCACACACACACGCACACACATGCACAGATGCATGCACACACACCCACATACACACATGCACATACACACGCACCCCCTACACACACATGAACACCCCCCCACACACCTACACACACACATGCACACACACACCACATGCACACACACACACACTCTCCTTTTTCTTACAGATGCCTTCAGATACCCAGTAGTTTGTGCAACTACATCCCTTCCACTCTGGTACTCGATGGTCACAGAACTGCAACAAAGCCACCATCAGGACCAACTGCCTCTGGACCCACACTGGTGTCACCACCGCCCCCAGTGAAGACCAATAAGCTTGGTGGAGGGGGGGCTTCCTGGAGTCGTTCATCCAGTCCTCAAGTCAGCCACCTCGCTCTCCAACCACCTAGACCCAAGGCACTGAGAATGAGCCCTGAAGATTTCCTGAGTCCTCATTTTCCTCCTTTCCTGAGGCCTGGCACCAATCTTGCCCTAAGGCTCCGTGGCAACCCCCTCCCCAAAGCCTACAAAGTCTCCGTTTCTGTCTAAGCTGTTGAGTTGGCTCCTGTTGCTTGCAACCAGAGATCTTACCACTCTATAGACACAGGAGTCACAGCCCCATGTGTTCTCTCCAAAAGTTCTCAAGGCTAGACCCATGGAATAAACCAGTGTCCATCGGGGTGGTAATGGCTGAGAGACCCACGGCATGTCAGAGCGGGCAGCGTCCTCAGATGCAATATTTTACAAACTCCCCGCTGCCTGGAAGAGGAAACCTAGGCTGAGAGAGGGGCAGGAGCTGCCCAAGAGCAATAGCTAACAAGAGGCATCATCTGGTCTGGAGCGTTCTAGATACAGGGAGGAGGACGCTCCCTCCCAGGCAAGTCCCTCTCCTACGTTATATTACAAGAGGCAGTCTTCTGGAGTCATGTTTTGTCTTTCAGCAGAATTGAAAACAAGACTGTCTTCAGCACAAAAAGATAAATCCCTCCCGGAGAAGCCTGCAATGCACAGTTAGCAGGAGGAGATCTCTGACTGGCAGCAGCTCTGCCCCACCCCCCTGCCCCGCCCTGTCTTCATGTGCTCAGTTAGTAAGTATTTGTGGCACGAACACCAAGTGCTCAGACTCTGTTTCCTAATGCTGTGACAGAATTAAAAGGCACCCAAGTCCCTGAGCTTCCTGCAACCTTACTCTCTGCCCTGCCCTTTGCTCTCCACTCGCACCATCATACTGAGCGTCTCACTCTACTCCCTAAACAAATTGCCAGTCCATCCTGCCTCTGGGCCTGTGTCTCCACCATGGAAGAATCTAATATCACTCCCTGCCCTGGACCAGTTCTTGCTCAGCTTTTAAAGCTCGTGTTAGACCATTCCTTCCCGGAGACAACTCCCCTACTTCTCTATTTGTGCAAACAGATCATGAGCTTCCTGCCTGGCTTGCTCACAGCTGTATCTCCAACACCTCGTACGGCTCCTGGCGCATTTTAGATGCTCAATACATGTGCGGTGCATGCATGAATAATGATGGATATGAGTGAAATCTAGACAGTGATCTCCCCCAAAAGGGAGAAATGGGCACAGATTAGCCCATATTCTAATGTAAACCATAGCATAGTGTTATCTCTATAAAGCACTGAGGCACTAAGCAGAGGAGAGGTTAAAGTTAAAAAATCAATTGAGGCAATCAAGTAAATAGTACATTAACACACAAAACAAAAACTCAGCACGGAGGGACAGAGCAGTAAAAGGAAGGGGTGCATACAGTACCAACTGCAAGCTGATAGCCTTCAACTGAATCATGTCAATAATTACAGAGATATAAATAGACTAAACATTTCAGTTGAGACACAGAGATGATCAAGTTTACTATAAAGGCAAGTTCCAATGATACACTGTCTCTAAGAGGTGTATTTTAAATGTAAACACAGAACTAACTTGAAAGTAAACGTATAAAAATAGAAAAATCATGCTAACAATAAGAAGCAAATATAGACAGTCTCCTGACTTTTTTTTTTGTCTTAAAACAGGGAAGGATTTTTTAAAGCAAATTAAATAAATAAGCCAAAAGGTAGAAGTGTGATAACCTACTCCATTAAAATTATAAAAGTCTGTTATGCCGTTGATACAATTTTGGAAAAGGTCAAAAAGAGAGGCCACTTGCTGGTATAAATGCGATCCACTTAACTACAAAGAATTAGCGCTCAGAATCTATAAAGAATCTCCAATACATCAATGACAAAAGAACAACCAACTTTACAAGTGGGCGAAAGACAGAAACAGATCATCGACAGATGATCCAAACAAACACCCAAAAAATATGCTCAGTGTCTGAGTACCAGAGAGGTGTGAATTAAAGTCGCAATCACACAAGTCACAATGAGCAACGAGCAATCACATTCCTCATTCTTTAAACAGGCGATACTTAAAAGTCTAGCATTTCCAAGTCTTGGCCTAGAATGGAGCAGAGCAGCTCTTCAGCCCTGCTGGTGGGAATAGCAATCACGCAACTGATTTGTAAGGCGAGTTCAATATCTTCTGATTAGCACACCCGGTAATTATCCTCCTTACGCCTGCAGGAGAGCCTTTGAGAAACTCTGCCTCTTCACGCCTGTTCACACCCAGAGTGGTCACAGCTCTGCAGGCTCCCTCCCCTCCCCCCATCCTCCTCAGCGCTTCTCCTCTGCCTCTGAAGTCTTGCTTCTGTCACACGCACAGGTGTCAACTCTGAAGCTCAAACCAGAAAACACACAGAGGCGAGCCGCAGAGAGGAGAAATCACTGTAAGTGAGGTAATATCTTTATACATCTATAGCGGCATACAAATTGGCAGCCCATAACCCAGCTTCATCAACTGGAATGTAATGCTTTTAAGAATACAGTGCAATATGCAGAAGAAGAGGAGCCAGTGCTGTGGCACACCAGGTTGAGCCGTGACCTGCAGTTGCTGGCATCCCGTATGGATGGAGGTTTGAGTCCCAGCTGCTCCACTTCCGATCCAGCTCCCTGCTAATGCATGGAAGATGACCCAAGTGCCTTGGGCCCCGCACCCATGTGGGGGACTCAGAAAAAGTTCTTTATTATCTTCATAAGTGTTTTGTAAATCTAAAATTATCCTAAAAATTGTTTATTTTGAAGAAATGGGTAGGAAATTTCTATAGCAAATTCAAAGTAATCAGCGTTTCCTGGAGGACAACGATGAGATCTGGAAGTCACGTGGGGATCCTCCCAAGTTTCTCTAGTATTTCATTATAATGTTAAGAATGCAAATACTGGGGCCAATGCTGTGGCATAGCGGGTTAAGCCTCTGCCTGCAACGCTGTCCTTCCATATGGGCACTGGTCCGAGTCCCAGATGCTCCACTTCCAATCCAGCTCCCTGCTAATGCACCTGGGAAAGCAGCAGAGATGGCCCAAGTACTTGGGCCTCTACATTCACATGGGTGACCTGGAAGAAACTTCTGGATCCTGGCTTCAGATTGGCCCAGCTCCAGCTGTTGTGGCCATTTGGGGAGTGAACCAGTGGATGAAAGATCTCTCTCTCTGTCTGTCTCCTCCTCTCTCTGTCTGTAACTGTCTCTCTCAAATAAATAAATAAATCTTTAAGGAAAAAAAGAGTGCTTCTGTTTAAAAAAAAGCATTCCAGATGGAAAGACACTATGGAGACAAAGGTGTCCAGAGGGGAGCATTTTGCTCTGTGGGTAACACCCCGTGGGACACCCACGTCCTGTGTCACAGAGCCAATTTCAAATCAAGTCCCGACTCTGCTTCTGACTCCAGCTTCCTGCTAATGTGCACCCTGGGAGGCAGCAGGTGATGCTCAAGTACTTGGTCTCTGCCACCCACAGGGGAGACCTAGATGGAGTTCCTGCTTCCTGGCTTCAGCCTGGCCCAGACCTGGTTGTCATGCACCTGTGGGGAGTGAACCGCTGGATGGAAGATCTTCCACTGTCTATCTCTGTCTTTCTCTCTCTCTCTCTCTCTCTCTCTCTACCTTTCAAGTAAATTTTTAAAAAATATTTAAGAAAAGAGAGAGACATGACACCTAAAAGTAATACATCATCCTGGATTGCATCCTGGGCCAGGAAAAAAATTGTTTTCTAATTGATATAATTGGGCCAATTACCAAAATTTGAATGTAGGCTATAAGATTATGTAAAAAATATTACATCAAAGTTAAATTTCCTGATTTTGACCGTGATGCAATTTGAAAATTAATAATTTTTCTGATTCTGGTTCTGTTTTTGAGAAACACACGCTGAAGAATTTAGGGATAAAAGAGCGAAATGCCTGCCATTGACTTTCAACTGTGTCAGAAAAACAGCAATGCAGAGAGAGAGAAGGCAAGAACAAATGGGGCAAGATGCTCATGGTCGTTTGCAAACCTCGGGCAAGGGTAGTTAGGATTTCTCAGCACGACTCTTGCTACTTTTCTGCGAATTTGAAAAGAAAAAATGAAACTTTTTTTTTTAAGGAAAGAGCCCTAAAGGGAGTGAGCTTTTTCCTTCTGTGGAACTCAGGGCTCTGAGCACTGGCTCTGGTCTCAGGAGCCGGGCATAGCACGCCTGTGTCCCCTGGGTGTACGCCTTCTGCTATCGGAAAATGGTCTTTGTTTCCTTCAGCTGCCCCAACCCCGGGTGGGCTGTTCTCCCCTCTGCAGAATAAACTCCCCAGGCCCTCCAGCCTGGTGCGTCTTGTGCACAGCTGGGACCCCGCGCCAGGAGAACCCTGCACCTATAGTTTCTGTTTTTCCACTCACAGTGCTGACAGCCAAGGGTGCTCACAGGTAGCTGTCACAGCTTCCCTTAGGGGTCCTGAGCCCAGTTCAGGAGGCCAGGCCTGCAGGGCCAGGTTGGGGCAATCAGAATGCATAGGCAATGGGCGCTGAGAGGTAATTTCCTTGAATACTCAGCGGGGCAAGCAGAGCTGTGATTACCTAAGACGGCTTGGAAGCCTTGCAGCTGGAATGGCACGTTGCTAAATTCGGCAGCCGCGGGGGGAAATGAGGCTTTGTAAATCAGGAAGTCTGCTTTGGCTAACGTCTCCATCGCCGTCTGTCATGCCAGCCTCTGCCAGGAGTGAGGAGCTGCCTGAGGTGAGAAATCTGCTCTCACAGTCACGGGGGACAGGGAGCAGTGGGGCAGCTTAGTGAGAGCTGGGAGTGGCCAGGCCAGGGGCCCTGCAGCCATCACGACTCTGTCCCTGGCCTGGCTCTCTCCAGCGGAGCAGCTGAGGGTCAGCAGGAGACAGCACAAAGTCCCCGGTGCTCCTGCTCGCTTGCAAGGGGACGGCGCCCACCCTGACCTCAACAGACTGCACGGCAGAAGCAGGAAGGACTCTGTTGGGAGCACAGGATGCAAACAGATACACTGATGTACTGGTCCCTTTATCAGGATCTGCACTGTTAAAATCTCCTTCTACTTTGTGGAAAACAATAATTAGGAGACACCATGTCTTTCATTTTTTTAAGATACATTTATGGGGCCAGCACTGTGGCATAGCGGGTAAAGCCGCTGCCTCCATGCTGGCACCCCATATGGGCATTGGTTCAAGTCCCGGCTGCTCCACTTCCATTCCAGCTCCATGCTGATGCACCTGGGAAGGTAGTGGAGGATGGCCTAAGTGCTTGGGCCCCTGCACCCGTATGGGAGACCTGGAAGAAGCTCCTGGCTCCTGGCTTCAGCCTGGCCATTGTGGTCATTTGGGGAGTGAACCAGCTGATCGAAGACCTCTCTCTCTCTCTCTCTCTCTCTCTCTCTCTCTCTCTGCCTCTCCTTCTCTTTCTGTGTAACTCTTTCAAATAAATAAATAAATCTTTAAAAAAAATAAAAACTTTCTGCTTTTGTCGGAAAATCGTGAGTTCCAGTTGCTGGTGTGGCTTCCACCAGCTGATGCCGAGCAGGTGGGGCATGCCTCTGTTCAATACAGTCCCCACCCCTCCTTACTGTCTCCCCACATTTGCACTGCTCTTTGCCAGGGAGTGCACTCATTTTTCTCCATCCTTGTCTCTGTCCACAGTGGGAGAACAGATGTCTAGAGGGTATCTCAAGGAGAAACATTTCCTACTTACTCTTATTTCTGTCTGTCCCCCCAACCCAGAAAATTCACAGCTTTGTGCCTGAGAACCAGTCTTTGCTGGTGCCCATCACAGGAGCCCTTCCTCCGTGTCCCCAAGCCTTTCCCCACGACCTTGCTGGATCAGGGACTGTGGCCCTCCCCCTGCAAGCCCTTTTTAAAGCCCATAGTGCATTATCAACAGGGATGGTCTCATGCTGCCCCGACCCCTTCCTCCAGCGCTGTCAGTCTCCAGCCCAGAGGTGCAGCGCCAAAGCTGTCCTCAGGCCCCGCCCCTCACCTCTCCACGTGTCCAGGCACCATCGTGGGCAGCCAGACCGGGCAAGGACCCTGAAGGATGAGGGGCTGGTGTGGGAGAGGAGGAAGGAAGTGGAGAGGGGAGATGAGGACGCTTGTGCAAGAAATCTGAGGGTGCGGGAAGGGAGGGATCTGGTTTACGTCCTCGCATCCCCGGGGAGGGGGGGTCCCCAACGAGGTCACTGACTCAGTACAGATACAACGGAAGAAGAGGAAAGCCCTTGGGTTGAAACTATGAGAGCCACACAGCGATGCAGCAGGCATTCAAGGGGTGTGTGTGTGTGTGTGTGTGTGTGTATCTCCATCTCCCATGATTGACTTGTGAACAGTACTGTGTGTGTGTCAAAAGACCAATTTATTCAATATAGACTGTTTGTATGTCACAGATTCTGAACTCCCGTCTTGGGATTTCTGCTTTTCCTTGATGATAGCTGAAACCTCCCAAAATGGAAGTGCCCCAGGATCCCCCCGACCCTCTGAGATCCCCAAGTCCCTGCTTCCCCCTGCCCCCAGCAACACTCACACAGAGGCAGCCACAGTGGAGGGTGTCACCCTCCACAGCCCCAGGGACCAGCTGGTGGCCACTGACCGCAACACACAGGTGCTTACCTGAGCAGGGAGCACGCTGGTCCTCAGGGCTGCAAGCAGAGGAGGAGGGACCAATCAGAAGCCATGGGGCTCGGAGCCTGCTGCCCACCTCTCCACGCACCTCTGCTCTGGCTCCTCGCGTCCCACCTGCCCGGAGCCCTCCTCTCCAACTGCCCCATTCAACTGCCGCTCCCACCACCCCCAAGGAGGGAACTCTGGGGGGCCAACATTCCCTCCACCCACATTAAAGGGCACTGCCCCTTCCGGGAGGGGCCCGTGTCGTGGACCAGTGCCTTCAGGGACGGCCACCCCTTCTGTGGCTGGCCACAGCACAGCTTTGTGGAAGAGCCCGTCCCCAGCTGTGGAGACAGAGAAGCAAGATGCCTTGCACGAGTGGCTTGGGGCAGGAGCTGAGACCAGCACCCAAGTCTCCTGAGTCCTATTCCAGGCACCTGCCTTCGAGAATGCGTCCCATTTCCCCCTCTGCCTCCTGCAAAGGCGAGGCAACCCTGCAGGCAGGGAAGGTGCAAGGAGTCCCATTTTCAAAACACAGAAACGCTCATCCATACAGTCCCTGCTCGTGTGGCCGAAAACAAAGGTGCGATTTGAACTTTTTTTTTTTTTATCTTGCATTGAGCGGAAGGTAAGTTTGAGACAGGCCCTAGCTGCTCCCTCTTTTGCATGAAGGTTTCAGGTTTGTCCTTACTCAAGCACTGCCAACGGGGGCACAGGTCTTTTCTGGGCCGTTGCAAGCCAAAGTGAGTGTGTGGCTTCCACGGGGTTGGGAGGGTGCAAGATCCTTGCAGTCAGAAATAAACGTTGACTCATTTTCAAGAATTACTTAGGCACCTTAGGAGACCTTCTCCACCTGACTCAAACAGATTTTATGACAAATGTTGCTGTAGCATTTCTTTTCTTTTTTTTTTTTTTCCTAGCGGCCCAGGGCTCTGCTTTCCCTCCTGCTGGCCAAGTTCTCCCCCTGCTGGCTGGTTCTGGCCGCACAACTTCCTGAAGATGCAGATCACTGCCTGTGCCCAACCCCACACTCATCTTCAGGACAAGAGTGAGACAGGAGTGAGCAGGGGATTGTGGGGTGGCCAGATCCCCAGCCTGGGGAGGGGGCTGGCCCAACGGGGGTGTTCTTGTCCCCCTTCCACAGCCTCCATCCCTTCCCCACGGCCGCACTACCGCTAATACAGTCAGCTGGTATTTGCAGAGCCCTTTTGTACAGGGAAGTGCTTAATCCTGTTTACCATCCCCCCACCCCAGGAGGTCCCCCCAGCACCCCCAGACTCCCTCTCCCTGTCTCCCAGCTTCAGAGGATGCACGCAAATCCGGCCATGTTGACAGAAAGGGGGATTCCCGCGCGTTTCCTCCATGTCCCTGGAAGGCCTGGCGGAGGTGGCCTTGCACCGAGACTAGCCTCGGTTGGGGACTTTGGAGAGAAGACTGTTGGCCTATGGGGAGCAGAGGGGAAGTAGGGCAGGGGAGGGGCTGTCCAGTCTCTGCCCAAAGGAGTCGGACAAGAACAGATGGGTGCCTGCAGCAGGCAGTGAAGAGACTCAGCCAAGGTCACAGAGCTGAAGCCCAGCCTGCGGAGACCCCTGCGGGGGAGGAAAGGCGGGAGAACCCAGTGCACTGACTGCAGGGAGAAGAAAGCAACCAGGAATCCCAGCTCTGGCTTCCTTGATCGTTTGAATACTTTTATGTTGTACACAAACATGTCAGCCCAGCGGTATCCAGGGAGATCTGACACACAGTTTAAACGTGACGGGGGGCGGGGGTGGGGGGGGGAGTCTGTGTGTCCAACAGGAACCGTGGCACTCAGTGGTGAAAAGGAAAGAGGATTTTCCACCACGGAGGTTCTGTGAGGCTGTCTGAAATTCTTTTAAAAATGAGACCAGTGGGAGAGGGGAAGGAGAAAGAGAGAGGGGGAGAGAATTAAAGAGATCTGGCCCCAAGTCCCAGGAAGGATTGTGAAGCCCCCTGCTGGCGATGCATAGAATTGGTGCCATGGAGGGCCGAAAATAGAAACCACACAAAAGGAGAATTGTAACCTCAATGTGTTGTAAATTCATTAAGGACTAAATTCAATCATGTGAGTGACATGCCTTAAACATTGGAAACACTCAAGAAGCAGCAGTTATCCTTTGTAAATAATAATGTTAAAATAGGGGCCAGCACCGTGGCAAAGCCACAGGCGCCACCTCGCCTGTGGTGCTGTCATCCATGTGGACACTGGTTTTAGTCTTGGCTGCTCCACTTCCAATCCAGCTCTCTGTTGTGGTCTGGGAAAGCAGTGGAGGATGGCCCAAGTGCTTGGGCCCCTGCACCCACGCAGGAGACCTGGCTCCTGGCTCCTGGCTTCCAATCGGCACAGCTTTGGCCATTGCAGCCATTTGGGGAGTGAACCAGCAGATGGAAGACCTCTCTCTCTCTCTCTCTCTGCCTCTGCCTCTCTGTAACTCTGTCTTTCAAATAAATAAATAAATCTTAAATATATAAATATATATATTTAAGCACTGTTGCTGCCCTCAGTGCCGGGCATCCCATATGGGCACCAGTTTGAGTCCTGGCTGCTCCACTTCTGATCCAGCTCTCAGTTAATGTGCCTGGGAAAGCAATGAAATTTGGTCCAAGTTACTAGGCCCCTGCCACCCACATAGGAGACCCAGATGGAGGTCCTGGCTCCTGGCTTTGGCCTGGTCCAGCCCCAGCCTTTGCAGCCATTTGGGGAGTGAATCAGCAGATAGAAAATCTCTGTCTCTCTCCATAATTCCACTTACAAATAAATAAATATTTTCTAAAAATTAGCCGGATTTCCCAAGAAATAAGATTTCTACTTGCTGTGTTGCTGTTAGGACCTGTCTGGTAGAAATCCACAGAGGTATCTGCTAAGAGGGGAGTTGGGTTTTTCATTCTCTTTGCCTAAGGAGAGAGGCACGGTAGAAACGGCCAACGGAGTTGATGTGAAAAGACTTTGGAAAGTGGCGGAGAAATCTGAATGGATGTTTACAGCGTTAAGTGCAAGGAGCAGCAGGGTTGGTCAGCCAGAAGGCAGGTAGCCAACAATGAGAGAGAAAACCTTCTAATAAACAACAGAACGATTACAGAAGCCGTGAGTCCTGGCCTCAGCCCCACCGCTTGACAACTTAGAGACCTAAGCAGGTCCCTGGGCTCGGAGAGCGGAGCCTGTGGATTAAAACTCGCCCGTCAGGCAGAGGGGCACTCGATGACTCATCTAGCTGTGCAGTTAGTGTGTCTCTTTAAATGCTGGAGAAACCATTTAACTGATGATCCTGCAATACACCGCTCTCCTTCTTTGCATTGACCGCCAAGGAACTCAACAGTTGGAACTCAGCCACCTCCAGCAACTGTCCCCACCGGTACAACACACACCTTATGTGAAATAACTGGCAGTGCCTACAGGGCCTGGTTGAGGGTCTAACATTGCTTGGAGGACAGGATGGCTTTCAGGCAAAAGTTCTTCCCTGGGCCACCTGGTTTGAATTTGGTGAGATCCAACCTGGCTGCCAGAGTGACCTCAAATCGACCTCTCGCCTCGTAATCTCGTTTCTATGCTAAAAATCACTCCCACCTGTGCCTTGCCGCTTGACAGTCGTCATGACAACCAGCAGGAGGACACAAAGAAGGCGGCTCCCCCTTCCCAAATATTCCTCCCACCTGCCAGCAGCTCCCTCCCCTCCCACCTGCCGCCCTCTGCCTTGACCCCTCAGCTCACGTCACACTAAACAAAAGACCTGATTTTGTGGTCCCTTGCTCCTAAATAAGGGGGTAACAGGAGTGCTCCATAGATTGTAAATGATGCACAATCCCAAGGGGCGTGTGGGACCCCCACACTGGATCAGAAGTTTCTGCCTCAGTGGGGTTCGCTCTAAGCACAGTGTCAGAGCACAAAGCACCCCGCAACCAAGGCTTTAAAAAAAACACTGTTATTAACCTAGAAAATCATGCCCCCCCCCTTTGCCCTGATGAGAAAAAGCTTCACCACGTGATGCTACTCAGCCAGGGGCAGGAACTGGGCAGGGGCAGCCAGGTGGAGGGCCGCCTCTTCCCCTCACTTTCTCTACGTGTCCTGGCTGAAGCCACCAGGTGCTCTGGCGACCACGGGCCCCGGCCCATTGAGAATTTTCCCAGCAGGCTTGAGCCCAAGCCCTAGCCTTGAACATCCCCAGGCACCCATGCAAATGTTGACGTTGTTGGCCCCAAACACAGAAAGAAACTGGTCCCCCTGCCCTGAGCCCAGGTCCTCACAGCCTGATGTAGACTCCACGCCCTGGGCACCCCTGGGCACAGCGTTCCTGCTCCCAGGCCACACCCTGTGAGTTCTGTGATGCCTGTATGGCACTGGTCGCTGTGGCATTCCGGGCTCCTTTCCTTGGCTGGGAGTGGCTGGCGGGGAGGGGTCCCTGGGGTGACACTGCTTTAGGGCTGATTTCAGCCTCTTTGGCTGGGATCAAACAGCAGGCATCAGACCTAGAACTTCTATGCACCAGGCTGTCCACGAGCCAAGCTGGTGCGGGGTGACCCTCCCACCTCACTGCCGCCTCTCTGCTCTGGGTTCAAATTCCAGGCCAGCCAGTGGCAAGTCAGTGTTGGAGTTGTGGACAAGGCCCCTCCCCTGCCTGGGGGACAGAGGTTCTGTTGATAACGTGGAAAAGCTGAACTGAAGGCGGCGGTGCTGTTTTTTTGTGCCGTGGACTTCTTGGCACTCTGCCGTATTCTCAGAATAGTGTCTGTAACGCACTCGGTAAAGTATATAGGATGGCAAAGGTAACCTACTATACTGAATTATGGTTATCAAACTCTGTATTATTAAGAAAAAAAAAAAAAACGAAAGGCAGGCATTTGGCACAGCAGTTAAGATTCCCCCAGCCCGTATCAGAGCTTCTGGGATCAAGTCCCAGCCCCACTTCTGAGCCCAGCCTCCGGCTCACGCACACGCTCAGAGGCAGCACTGACGGCCCAAGCATTCGGATCCCTGCCACCTGCGTGGGAGACCAGGACGGAGTTTCCAGCCGCCTGGCTTCAGCCCGGCCCAGCCCTGGCTGTGCAGGCATCTGGAGGGAGAACCACCAGATGGACACTCTCTCTTTGTCTTCTGTCTCTGTCTCTGTCTTCCAAATAGATATTTTTCAAAAATAAAGAATAAGCATTTTAAAGTGAAAGTTG